ACCAGGTAGCCATAGGATGCCCAAGACATCTCCAGCTGGTCAAGGAGTATTCGCATTTTTAGACAAGCCAAAGAAATCGTATTGTTGGTTACAACATGTTACAACCAATTTTATCCGATTAATATCTAAATCATCATTAATCTTCCCACTTCCAGCCAATGTTTGATGTTTATTTCCCACATAAAAGCACCAATTACTGAATGTCTAGTCTAGTTATTATTTGATATAATACATTATATATATATGTATATATATGTAATATAAATTGGTTGATAAACCTTGGATTCCTGGGATTCATCATCAGATCCTTAAGCCCCCAAAAAGAAATCGTTGCGACCCAGATGAAGATGGGCTTCAAGATGAAAGAGATGATGGATACCATGCCGTCTCTTCCTCAGACCGCGCGGAGATCGGAAATCGGTGACGCAAGGGCCGAAGCAGCTTGCGCCATGGCCATCCATGGCCCATTTAGTTAATTTCCATTGGTTTCCATTGATTTCCATTGATTTCCATTGATTTCCATTGATTTCCATTGATTTTCGCTGTAAAGATGGAGATGTTGAGATGTTGAGATGTTGATGTTGATTTCAGCTATGTGACATACATCGTTTTTACGAACAAAATCAATGGGAAGACGCATCTGCCCGAGGGATCCAATCGTTCAAATACCCAGGAAATGATTGGATCCACATGGTAAGAAATGGAGTTGAACGATGACTCAACTTGATATCGTATGTTTGTTGGGCTCATGTGGAATTTATTTACATTTATGGACCGGTGATCAATGCCCGCGTATAGACAATCAAGGTATTGTGCCATATATGTATCCATATGTTGCCATATTTTGCAGCATAGGGTGGTAATCAAGCCTGATGATGGACCATTTCCATTTCTGAAAAATAGGGTACCCAACTTCCATTCATCATTTTGCCTATGAAAGTTGCAATTTTATGGTATACACCATTCCCAGATTAACTCATTTCTGAAATTGCCAAATGAATGTCCATAGCCAATTTCCCTTTATCAGGTTGCAGCACTGGGCACGCCACGGCCCCATCGTCGTCCCCGAGGTTCGATCAGAACTGCGAATCCCTTTACTTCGCCCGGGGCCTTTGGCGGCGATGAAATCCTGCGGTGATGTCTCCATTGACCATGTGCATTGATAACACCATTCACTAGTCATTCTGGATAATGATAAAACTTGGTTGGGTGAATGAATGACTTTCGAGAACCACACCCAGCTAAAAATCTACAGTTGTTGTTTGGTCATGTTTGGTACTGATATCTCAGATCAGTCGTGCACTGCACAACAATTTGCCATCTGAGCAACCATTTGGGTCCATTTCGCATCACCACCAAGCACCACTTCCAAAGAACTTATAAAGGTACCAGCATGTACCACTTATTCAAAAATTCACAGAACATATTCCCCACCATTTCCAAAGGTCTCGGCCATCATCCCCCCGTTCCTCGCAGCTTTTTTTCTACGCGTCACGCAGCTCGCCCAGATCTTGGATCGTGAGAAACGCCAGTGGTACAAGTGCTGCCGCCAGTTCTCCCCGAAGTTCAAATGTCTCTTGGCCGCACGGAGAAAACTGCGGTTTTCTGGGTGCTGAGCCAAACCTAAAAAGACCCAGGGGGGTCCACCGAACATCAAGAAGAAATGGGTCATATTTGATATGTTTTTTCCCCACCTGCCAGGTGAGGGTTGTTAGATTTTATGTCAGTTGCCTCCTCCTGCTCCTCCTCCTCCTCCTCCTCCGCCTCCTCCGCCTCCTCCGCCTCCTCCTGCCTCGTCCTCCTCCTCCTCCTCCTCGTCCTCCTTGTCGTCCTTGTCGTCCTTGTCGTCCTCGTCGTCCTCGTCGTCCTTGCTCAACTGCGATCCGCGATCCACAGTGTTCTCTGCCGGACCTCAACCACGACCACCCACGCCCAGTGTTCCCTGCCGGACCTCAACCACGACCATCCACGCCCAGTGTTCCCTGCCGGACCTCAACCACGACCAGCCACGCCCAGTGTTCCCGGACCTCAACCACGACCATCCACGCCCAGTGTTCCCTGCCGGACCTCCACTGCGAGTATCCACGCCAAGTGTTCCCTGCCGGACCTCATGTAGTCAGATAGACTGCCAGATAGAATGCCAGATAGAATGTCAGATAGGATGCCAGATAGAATGCCAGATAGAATGCCAGAAAGAATGCCAGAAAGAATGCCAGATAGAATGCCAGATAGAATGTCAGATAGGATGCCAGATAGAATGCCAGATAGAATGCCAGAAAGAATGCCAGAATGCCAGATAGACTGCCAGATAGAATGTCAGATAGAATGTCAGATATAATGCCAGATAGAATGCCAACATATATGCCAGAATATATGTCAGATAGAATGCCAAATATATGTCAGATATAATGCCAGATAGAATGCCAGAATATATGCCAGAATATATGTCAGATAGAATGCCAGAATATATGTCAGAATAAATGACAGGTAGAATGCCAGAATATATGTCAGATGAAATGTCAGAAAATATGTCAGATAGAATGCCAGATAGACTGCCAGATAGAATGCCAGGTGGAATGTCAGGATATATGCCAGATAGAATGCCAGAATATATGTCAGATAGGATGTCAGAATATACTAAATATATGTCCAAATATACGTCCTGACATGTCATGGTGGGGATCACACGAAGTAGAGTAATTTTTTAAAAAAATCTGTTACTATTCTCACCCAAAACAAACTCCCAGAAGGGATGTGGATAGATTGTAGCATGTTGATGCATTTTGTAACCATACACAAAATCTGGGATGATTAAACCTTGCTATAACATTGCTAAACGGTCCTAAAAATTTGAGGATTCCCAAACCACCAAGTTGCTCTGTGTTGCCCAGGCATTGAGGTCCAACCGACCGGCTGGTGCGGGAAGCCTGGTGACGGTGATATGATGGGGAGAGCAACCTGTGCAAAGCTTGGGGAAGGGAAGGCAATTATATGACAGGTTTCTTCATCTAAGTTCTAAACCATGTTTAGCCAAAATTATCGGTTTTATATTTTTCTAGCTGTACATGGACATGTAATACTAATACATGGAATAATTCGTAACCAGCACAAAAAACAACTCTATGATCAGCCATGATATGGGTTTCACCAACTCATTGGTAGACATCAAGGAAAGACAAACCAACAAACCACACCATTGGAATAGATGAATGTATTGGTGGTTGGTTTCAAATACAGTATATATTTTTTCAGTTCAATGCTTACCCGGGATGATGATGTCAATTCATTTTGAGACTGCCAGATGTATAGTTCATCAGCACCAGTCAGAAACCAGAATGGATGATATGGATGTTGACCAAACTCCTCCATGCTGGTACTGTAAGAAATTGAGGACAACCTTTGACAGTAGGGATCGACGACCCAAAGAAGATAATATTGCAATAGGTAACATGCCTGGCCACTAATGCGGGGCTCATCACGAGGATTGGAATGGAATTTCTAAGATGCAATGACTCAACAACAACGGTAAGAAAGGATCAAGATGTTTGCTTGAACCAAGTGCCACTGCAGACAACCCCGGTCAATCCCACTAGGGTAGCATCATTCTGACAAATCATCCCGTGGAGGGGTCCCCAAAATTGAGGTCACAGGGTTTCCCAGCCAGGTTTCCTTTTTGATCCATTGACCTTGGCATACACAATGAACATTTGCACTTCAAGTCGTGTGAAGTATCGACATCTCAATTCGCAAGTGTTTGTATTTGAAAGTTGACCTTGTGCTGCTCGACACATGCATCACGTTGACCTTGTTGGTCGACATCCACAATGTTTCGAACATAGTTCTACTTCAGAATCAGATGACATGTAGGAATCGCCCATCCTCCATCCACCTGGACATCGGAGGTACTCGCAAAGGAACGAGTTCGGCGTGTCGATGCCCTTCAACCATGAGGATGTAGCTTTGTCCGACAGGAGATGGTGGTTTGAATTTCAGCAACTAAAGTGTGGAGATGTCATGATACCCTTCGGTGTCATCCAACATGGCTAGCTGAATGCTAGCTGTGAAATCCCTCAAAAATGAGAGTTTTATTGGGACATTATATCGGTTTCAATGGTGGATTTTCCAGCAAGCCATGTTTGATTACGGGAGGGTACCATGAACGATCATGGCAGCCTCCTGCCATCTTCCATTGAAGGCATCCACCGACCAGTTACAACAGCCAACTGCTGTTTTTAACTGGGTGAGTATCAGTGGTTATCATAGATGTTATAAAATGAAGTCTTCCAAAGAATGTTCACTTCAACAACAAGTCCAAATAATCCAAATGACTACATGCAGACTACATGCACAAAGTCTTGAGATGGCTGTTTCAACCCCCAGGCACAGATGTGTTTCCGAGAGAAGTACTCCTGGGACCAGAACTGTGCCTCAGCTAAAGCTTCCGGTGGACCATGTGTAATGCAATATGATCAGTGTTTAGGGGAACCCTACCTTGTAAAAATCATGCATGAAATGTTCATGAACTCTAATAAACTATGGACCTATAATAGCTAATGAGGCTGACATTACATCTTGAAATTTATGTCGCAGTTGGTGAAAATCAATCATGAATTCTGAGCAATTGCAAGTGGTGTTACTTCACATTTTTTACCCAGTTGCGTCCCACTTGCCCACGGTGAATTCTGACGTCCCACTTTCCTGCTGTGGGGTGGAGAGTGCCAGCGCCAGCGGGCCTGGTATAATGTTTGCTTCTGATTAGTGTAGGGCCCCCCCTCAAACAATTTGGGTATCATGACACTAATCGGTAGCTAACATTAATATACATTAATCAGATTCCCTTTCAGGTCACACTAATCAGAACATGCACCAATCAGATATTCAAAGATTGCGTCTGGGAAACATACTTTGAGAGACGAAAGATGCTTGATGTGTTGCTGCAGTCAGTTTTTGATGCCCAAAAACCCGGAATCGCTCAATTTTGAATTGTTCAATTCTTTCCAATGGCATCTTTCCGGAAGTCCAGCAGCTGGTGTGTCCTGTGCTTGGCTTTCTTCCTGTGGCGTTCCGCATTCGTTGCAGGAGGCGGTGGCCGTTGGTCACCCCTTGGTGCAACACGCGGAGGGACGCCGCGATGCGTGGTGAGGGCTGAGATGCGAAAAGAGTGGCATACGCCACCGGAGGTGGTTACTTCACAAATCAGGGATTCAGCTTCGGCTTCTGAAATTTTGGAAAGGCTGGGGCAAGAACGCAACAATCCAGGATTGAATTTGATTAATATAGGAACGTCTTGGGAGGGACTTGCCAATTTTGGGCATACAGTGGTCAGGGAGGTGGAGGAGGATCCTATGATGGACGAGTTTGTCGACCTAACACTGCGGCTTTTGAAGCAATCTTTGTTTGAAAATCCTACGCCATATGCTCGGGCTTGTGCGAATATGTTCTGGGCCTCAGCAAAGCTTGGAAAGGCAGGCTTGCTCACACAGCACCTGGCAAGAGTAGAAGATAGCCTCAGTGAGGCGGTTGTGGCCACAAGCCGCTTCATGGATCAGGAGGCAGTTGCGAAGGTCATTTGGTCTTGTGCTGAATTGAGACTGCCAGAGAAGACTCTGAAGAAGGTGATTAGCTCGATCACTTACACTCTCGTGGATGTGGCGGACAGACTCCAAGCTAGAAGTGTATCCACTATTTTGGTGGCCGCGGCTAAGCTAGGCAGACGCTCACCAGAGCTTTTAGATCAGATGCCATTGATAGCCGAGGTGTTGCCTGAGCTAATTCTACACATGGAAGCGCAGCAAGTTTGTAACAGCATATGGGCTATTGCTAAACTGCCGAAGACCCAGTCAACATGCTTATTGCCAGTGATTGGGAGTTTAACACAGCAAGCAACCGAGGTCATACAGAACATGAATGCACAAGGAATAGCAAACATAGTTTGGGCCACCGCTGTGCTCAAGAATGCTGCACCAAAGCTTCTGAAATTCATTCCAATCCTGATTGATCATTTGATTCAATCGGAAGACTTGGTGATGGACATGGGCTCCCAAGAAGTGGCTAATTGTCTGTGGGCAGCTGCAAAGCTCCAGCACCTTGTGCCAGAAATACACAAACTGATCCCAGTACTGGGCAAGAGGCTTGAGCCAACTATCCCGCAGATGATCGATCAAGCAGTTTCCAGCACCCTGCTTGCGATTGGGCAACTGCCGGAACATTTTCAGGTGTTGCGAAGCTCGGTAGCTCCATTGGCACGTAGGATGTTATCCGTGCTACGTGGTGCTCCCTTGCGTGAGGTCTCAAATGCCTGCTGGGGCCTCGCGATTTGCAGGCATGCCGATGCTAGTCGGACCATTCAGCAAACCTGGTTGTCAGATGTCAGCACTTTCTTTGATATCTTGATAATTCATCTATATAATTTCAACATCTTTCAACCCAATCGTTAGTTTTTTTGCAAACTGTAAGTACAACTGCTGTCCCAAACAACCAACGGCAGAGGACCGTGACTTCATGGTGGCCGTCACTAAGAAGATCCTTGGGTGCCGACTGACGTCCAAGGAGGTGGATTTCGACCTGCCGCCGATTTTGATGGCGCTGGCGCGACTGAATCTTCGAGGCTTAGTGGCCTTGATGTGGGTTTTCCAGTGAAAGTGTTAATCGCCTGGTTTTCCATGTGTTTCTTGATGGCTTTGGAATCTTTCGGGGTGTTTCAGTAAGGATTGACCCCCAGAATTGATTGCTGGCTTGTGGTTTCGGATACGTTTGCTTTTTTCATCGAACTGGGATTCTCAGCAAACTCAGATAGGTTTAATCATGTTAAATCTGTTTAAGCATCAGCATTAGCCGCTTCGTGTCACCCTTAGCGGCAGGGCATCCAGATTTTCTCCGCTTCGCATCCGAGAAGCTTCGGCCCATGCTGAAGAGGATGAACCCTTGGGGGCTCTGTGCAGTGTCATGGTCCTACTCGCACCGCGGCTTCACCATGGCAGGGATCTGACAACAGAGTCTTGAGGAAAAATGTGTATGGTCACTTAGTGGCTAGAACGATGACGGAACATTACAGAACCCCATTGCAATATAGACTCTACATGAATTTTAAGTGTACCGTTTGCAAACCATCAGTTGCAAACCATTTCGCCACCACACTCTCTGAACATCCGCCAATTGGTTACGTGGCCCCCCTGAACCCAAGCCCCACTGAGCCACTGTCCCGCCCTGAGGCAGCTGGATCAAACGAATGAGCGCCTTGGACCGGTAAAAACATGTGCGTTCAGCACGCTCTCGGTTTGAAATAGGTAACCTGTCCGTGATTCATGTTGTGGAGTGAATAAAGTGATGAATATGGTAATATCAAGTGAACAATCATTCTATGAGTATGGGTAAAATGGGTTAAACATGATCAAACTATGTCAGAATGACATGACCCCCATGTTCCCATGTTTGCTGGTCCTTGGACACTCAGACAACCATCGGCCTGCCACAAAGGTTCGCAGACTTCCGGGGAGCAGTTGAACAACAAGTGACTGCACGCAGCTTCTCTACGCAACAGGTGGAACATAGCCGGTTGGGCCCAGAGCAGTGGTACCGGCGGCCCAGAAGTCGCTGATCTTTGCAACGAAAATGGGACCCATCACTGCAGTGAGGCTGTGAAAATTGAAGAAATGTTTGATTGGAACTGAGAAAGTAAAGGGGATAGCTTGAAAAAGCGCAATCATTGCCCCTTTTCAAGTCTTGTTTTGTTGATGATTATGATTGTTTGAAGTGCGACGCAGCCCGATGCCTAGACATTTTGAGCATAGTCTAGAGTCTAGAGGAAGAACAACAGGGCCAAGTCACGGAAGATGTTATGGTGCTATGACTTCCAGAAGTGAATCTGTCATGGAGCACGAGCATGGGACACGAACATGCGCCGACTTTTGCATCTGCCGTCAGCGTTTTTGAAAAAGTGATCTGTGAAGAGTGAAGAGTTTGGGCATAGGGGGTCCCTCCATGCTTTTGGAGTGGTCTTTCTTGAATTCTTGCCCCCCAGATGTCAATGCCATAGAGACGAACACTTTCTGGACCCATATAGGCGGGAACCTTTGGTCACTTCTGAAGGCTTCATGAATTCTCCCCAAATGGCGGACTGCCTGATGCTAAGCTTGGATACCCTCCGAATCTACAAAAACCATTTGGACATGCTTGAATTGGCATGCGTTGTTTTTTTTGAACTTGCCGAAGAAACCTAATTATGACATTTGGAAGGGGCATGCTCCTAACATTGTAATGATTTGGGCATTTTTTGGGGTGACTTTTACAGTCATTTACTATTATAGTCCAGCTGGGGTTGAACGTGGAAACTGGATGTGGGTATCATGAAAAACAATGTGAAACCTTGAGATTTTTGGTGTACACAATTTTCAGACAAAACTAGCTTAGGCTATATTGTCTAAACCCAAGACGGACCGCCTTGAAATATCTACCATAAATCCAACACTTCATCCAACAGTTCTGTGATCTAAACCAATTTAACAATAACTTAAGTATCAGCCCCAAGTTTTTGTTGGTACAATCACCATGTTCCCTTCATTTTGGTTGAATAACCATATTTTTCATGGCTTTCCCAAAGGTCGCACGACGCAGCAAGGTCCCCTGTTCTACTGCGACAACGTCAAAGAGAACTGCCTGGGACTCGTGGATTTTGATCGCTGTGGGACCATCTATTTGGGATCTCAGTGGTTTATACTGTAGTCGCCCAGTGCATTTACGGCCACACCTGAAGAAAAAAAATCATATAGTGGTTTAATATTGGTTTATACCTACGGATCGTTGTTCCTAGGTTGTCAACTTAGTGGATCATTTATAGTGATTAACCGCTGTGGACAATAGTGGACAACTTGTACGTTATATTTATTGGTTAATGTTTGGTACTAGTGGTCAATAGTGGTTAATAATCATTAATAGCGGTTAATAATGGCCCCAGGATATAATGAATCAGTGGGAATTTCAGGACCCTAAGATAGAATTACTGAGTAATTACTGTATCAAACAAAGCCATTGCAGTAGAAATTGAGGGTATATCTCCTTACATAGCTCTTATATAGGCTTTATATATGGGTTTGTCTGAAAATAGGGTATATTCCCAATGAAATAGCCATTTAAAAACGGGATAATGATCAGCAAAACCATTGGGTAAAAAGGGGTACACTATTTTCAGACACACCCATATGTTGGATACCTCCAATGGCCATCCTGTTGGCCATCGTCCATCGTCCCAAGCTGGCACCAAGGTGTGACAGTGGGTGATATGGGCAAAGATGCCAGCTGGTTGGTGCCGCCCAAACCCAAGGCGCAACGTGGGATGAAACATGGAAAAGGCGGAAGAATCTACACTTCATCTTATGGAGAAGTAGATAAGTGACAAGTTCATGTACTTCTATACTGACTTTTGGACAGTATCAATTATCAATAGTCCTTGGCTACTATTTGATAGTTCAGTATATCCATGATATCTGGCGGGATTTGGGGATCATCCGGTCAGATTTGAACAAAAATACCATTCTCCCAATTAACATAGATCCTGAAAACAGCCAATCGTGGACAGATGTGGAAAGTAGTCTTCCAAAGCCCTATTTGGCAGGTTTAAGTATTTGGGGATGGTATTAAGTATTAAAATATATGTGTTTCAACACCTGCCAGGTTTCTCATTTTATATTTGGGTGACGTTTGTATGTATTTCTATGCCATCTGGGTTCATCATGCTTAGAGCCTACGGATCAAGAAAGATATCATGGGTGACATAGTATACACATCTGATATCAGTTGTATACCAATCTAGTATACCAAAAAAACACAATACCAATTCTTTTTGTAGACTAAAGCCATTTCCTATAGGCACCCCCAATTGGGGATGGGCAAGTCGGCCTGTGTTGGTGACGCTTTTTCAACTGGGAAGCAAAAACAGTCGCAGGGCCATGGGGTTTGATGTAGTTATTGTAGTTCTGAATCTATGTGAATCTATCATAAATTAAGTTCTACCATAGTTTTACCCGTTGAATTCCTGAATCTAACCCGTTTTTAACGTGGTAAAGCCTTAAAACCCGTCCGTCCAATGCCATCGTTCAGGGGAAGCTGTCGATGTTGGACAAGGTCAAGGGCTTCATCGCGGGGATGCACATGCCCGGAGTCCAGGCGAGTAGCGCTAGCGGAGAGCACTGGCCGTGGATCAATTGATATCTTCACCAATTATGGGGATATACTGGGAATAACTATGGCCCAATGCGATTTTCATGGGAATAACTATCCAATTGTGAATATACTATAACTATATACTGGGATTTTCATGGGAATAACTATCACCAACTATAACTATCACAATTAAGTGGGATTTCTAATGGGAATCGAACGAGGATATACTGGGTAATCAACAAGAATGGGGCTACTTGTGGAGATTTCATGGGAATCATCCCAATGGCATTTGCGAAGAATGATCCCAAGATTTCTTGATATTCAGTGCGAAGAATGAGGAAGGATGGCCACAAACATTAAGGATTCAGAAGGATATTTGGTTCATGTAAATTGTGGTCATCCATGTTGAAATTAGATCATCCATGTTATTTATTTGAGTTTCAATAATCCATTTTTCATGACAATTCGTCGACAACACCATTACTCACCATTCCTCACCATTATATACTCACCGCTCTCAACCAATAGTAATAGTAATCATTCTTAACAATGATTAGCCATTATTACCCATCAATAACAATTATCTAAGACACAATGGTTACTAACCATCTTTAACCATTAGTCACCACCAATAATCATTATTAGCCATGAAGTATCCTATTATGACAATGACGGATCCTATTATTAATCATTATGATATTAAAACCATTAGTAACATTAACCATTAACCATAAGTAACTTTAATCATTATAACCATTATAACCATTATCCTGATCCTGCTATGAAACATTACCCTCTGGTTATTTAACATAGCCATGGTATAGATGGTCCATAGAAATAGATGGTTTACCTATTAAAAAAAACGATGATTTTCCATGGCGATGTTAAATAACCAGATGGTAGTTAAGATACAATTGGTATGATCATAATTAATGATGTTAGAGTAGGATATATGATAACCAGAGGTTAAGATACAATTAGTAACCAGTACCCGTAACATCCTGGACATGGGATTTCTCCGTCACATCGGATTCCGCTTGGATCGCGGGTTCAGTCGTTTCAGGTCTTCCACTTGGAGATGCCGGAGCAGCTGCTGGCACTCCAGGCACTACATGATTTGGGGTAGTTATATACTTATATACTTACCCTCTGGTAAACTAACATAGCCATGATTTATATGACCCATAAAAATCGATGGTTTACCTATTAATAGCATGGTGATTTTCCATGGCAAACTGTTAAATTACCAAAGGGTATATACTTATATATAATATGTATATATTACGATTGCTAATTCATATAATTATGTAATACATATACATATACATATATTATGTGTATACATATTATAAATAGTTGATTTCTATTGATATATGATATATTGTATGTTTTTTTTCCTGATTAATAGTTTCGTAGATCAAATCTATGCATTTGTATTTCTATTCATGGTGTTTTTGATTGCAGCCCAAAATCAAATGAAGAGATGTTGGCAAAAGATTCGCGTTTTCACTGCTGTGTTGATCTACATTTCTATCAAACACATAGCTTGAGAAGTATTGTGGTCAGTCTATTTCTACTGCTGTTGGCAGTTGTTGCTTACAATCCCTATTGTTGCTGTTTAAAAAATCCGAATTCTGCTGGTACACATTCCCATGTTGTTGATTTTTCTTGGTCGAAATGACCATTCGGCGTTGGCCGAAAATCGAAATCTTGGTCAAAGTCATTCAAAACTATGAAATAATCCAATATGGATTGTGGATGTTGATGGATGTTGATGGATGTTTGTTGGAGAATCCCTTAAATGATTTGCAGTATATCAATCCAATATTGGATGAACATCGAGCAAAAATCATGGTGGATGTTTCACATGATTACCCTCTGGTTATGTCAAAATAGCTATTGAAAATCACCATTTTTAATAGGAAAATCCACTATTTCTATGGTCATTTTCAATAGCTATTTTGACAACCAGAGGGTAATCCCTTGGGATGATCCCCCCCGGAGGTGCCATCGGAGCTGCGGAGACATCGACGTCGACGCTGCGTCAAGGGCGACTTCCTTTGAGGCGGGGAGAATCGATTGTTGGAGACCCTTAAAAGGAAGGTCAGTTGAGGGTTACCCGGCCTGGAAAACGTTAAGAAAAAACTATGGAAAGATCCACCATGCTATTTTCATGGGGATTCATCCACTATTTCGACTGGGCCATTTTTAATAGTTATGTTAGTTTACCAGAGGGCAACAATGGGTTTATTGATGTTTGTTTCATGAACATAGGGGATAGACCAAAATTTCTCCAAACCATTCAAAGTTCCTTTGTATATGTCTGGGGATGAACATTCATTTGCGATTTTGATAATCAGCAGGGTACCTCGGCCAACTTGTAAGTCGAGGGCCTTTTCCTGCGCAACCGGAGCGAAAATCTGGATCTTTAAGGAGAAACTCACCTGGATGTACTATCCGACAATCAAAGATGTAAGTGGAAGATATGGAAAGTCCCCTATTTATAGATTTCCATTTGGAAATCCTCCATTTCTAGTGGATTTCCCCCAGCAATGTTTGATTGAGTGTGCCTGGAGACCTTACCCACAAGTTGGGGGTGCAAACCAGCTATGGGATGACCGGCCCGGAAAGACGGTAGAATCATACAACAATGGCTTTGTGATCATCTGAAATATGACATTTGATTCACATTATGATCCGAAAAACATAGCGATAAAAGCACCACATGGGACTATAGTCATTCTTGTAGCTTTCAAAATGGTCAACGTGTGTGCCTCCGGCCAAATCCTCATCAGTACAGTTCTTCTTCCTTGGTGCTTGGTGTTTGGTGTGAGGTCGCCTTCACAGTTTCTCCTTGGTTGATCTTGGTTGACCATCCCAAAGATGTAGAGTTTGGGGTTGATCCAAGGAGTTCCAATTGATCCAATATACATGAATATATCAGTTCTAGATTCCAATATTATGGCAATATAATTTATCAAAACATATAAAACATATATATATATATATTTTATCTCTGTATATATGTAATATACGCAATCTCTCAGCAGTTTTCAGAGAATATTATAACATATATGAAACATATACCATCATATAACCAATGAAAGACCTGTTGGTGGGTCGACCACAGCTTCCGAAAGGTCGCCGCCAATGGATTTTTTTCCGCCAAAGTTGCGGCCTGCCGAACGCGCGAAAGAGTCATGGCGCGCAGATGGCTGGAGCTGTGCAAATAACATGAGTAAACCACGTTTTTTTTGCCTTCAATCTGTTGTTTGGATTTTTACTGGATGATAAAATCATTGAAACTTAAACTCTATAATTAGGTCTTTTAACATGTTTAACAGAATAATGTTTTCATCATGGATTTATTTTGACAATCTGTTCAAATGACTACAGAGGACCATTATACGAGTGCAAGTTGGTAAATTGAAACTGTATAGAATACCCTGGAGCATATTTCATCATAGAAATGGGCCAAGCAACGGTCAGGTTTTGCTGAACTTCTTCAGGTTGCCAAGCAACGGGGCCCTTAAGATTCGGCCGATGCTTGTCGAATGTCGAATGTCGAATGACCAATCCAAGAGACAAATAGTACCCGGCCTGGTAAACGTTTAAAAAAACTATGGAAAGATCCACCATTTTCTTAAAGGGTAAATCCACTATTTCAACTGGGCCATTTTCAATAGCTATGTAACAAATTACCAGAGGGTATCCAGAATATTCAAACAGGACATATCTGCTGACTGCAACAGTGGACTCTTCAGATATCACCCATGACCAACAGTTCCAACAGTTCCCAGTGAAACTTACGCCACACGTTGAAACGCAGCCTGGATTGCATGGGCCGCCATCGCGGCGCTCTCAGTGATGATTCTCAGCGTTCTGCAGCTGTTTTTTATCATCGAGTCTCACATTACTACATAAGTTATGACATACCATCTAGTTCTTTAACAGTTTGCCATGAAAAATCACCATGCTATTAATAGGTAAACCATCTATTTCTATGGGACATCTATACCATGGCTATGTTAAATAACCAGAGGGTAAGTGATGACTTCGGATGCTGGCTACTCAATTGTGGGAAGCATGCGGTGGCTCCAACAAGTGTGTCCCGTGGAAAAAGTATGAGTCAGTCTCTGTCACAACAATCATGGGGGTATGATCCCGGATGATAGGGTATAATGGGTACAATGTAAAAGCACCGTATAAAATTGTCAGTGGTTTTGCCGAAAAAACTGCACCATTTATCTCAATGTATGACCCATACCCAGACATGATACAACCACAACTCCACAGAAACCAATGGCTGAAAGTCACCAGTTGCATTGCCATCCACGATGATCGAAGTGCACAGCCTTTGGATAGGCCAGAATCTGACAAAATGGGGAGAGAGGAAGACCGGGAGAAAGATGATGATATTGTGTAATATATTGCAATGTGTTGTATAATACATGTATCTAATTATCTATAGGGTTGCAAAAACTAACTATGGTAGTTGTTTAAGTAAGAAACCAGTTCATCACAAGCGTATCAAGGGAGCACCGGCCGGTTTACCCCCAGATTTGGTGGTAAAAACCAGCCAGTTTCGTAAATGTCCTTCAAGAAAAGCAACCTTAGTGATCGTATGTGACTGGATCGTTTTAGTATGTTTTAGTGCTGGGGAATGTTGATTCACACCTACCTTAGTTTTGTAAATGTTCTTCAAGATTGGATTATTGTTGGTTATTGTTGGTTAAACATGCATCTTTTTATCGTTTTTCCCGAGTTTTCCCAGATTTTCCCATGATCTCCAAGTGATTTCCTGGGCAGCCGTTGAAGCCGTGGTGTGAGGCGAGTCCTTCCCCGAATGGCTGCCCCACTGCGTGGCGTCCTGGGTCGAGACAGGGCACAAGATGCACTGGTGGCAGCCTGGCAAAAATAGGGAATTTCAATGAATTTCAGCTACACCTTTGGGGAGAAATCATAGAAGTAACAGATGAAGTAACAATCTGGGTAAATTTCATCGTGACCGAACTCGTCGTGACCGAAGTCGTCGTGACCGAAGCCTGGAATCATGGTAATCGATTGCGGGGAATCATCCCCTTTTATGGTCTTAATTCAGGTTTGTGAATTATTACTGCTTGGTGGTTTCAAACATGTGTTATTTTCCATTTCATATATGGGATGTCATCCCAACCCCATTGACGAAGTCCATCATTTTTCAGAGGGGTAGGGCTCAACCACCAACCAGATCATCATTAATCATCATGAATCATCATGAATCACCATTAGTATGATCATTACTAACCCTTATTAACCATTGTTTTACCACCAACCAGTTATAATTTGCCCAGATCTATGGCAGATCATGGCAGATCGGTTTTTTTGACGGTTTCATAGATCCCCATAGATTGGATTACAAAACCAGCGGTGGGAAGATGCTGGGAAGATGGCAAAACATGGGGAAATTCTTCAGCTACAAAAAATCAATGGGAATTTCAGGATCCTAAAATGGAGGTACTGTACCATATAAGGCCATATTTTATGGGGATGTTCCCTTACATAGGCCTTGCATAGGCCTTACATAGGCCTTATATATGGTAGGTACCTCCAATTTAGGTTCCTGAAATGGCCATTGAAAAAAGGGGATCTATGTAACAATATTAGGTGGTTTCAATGATAGTAAGAACCATGACATTATGGGTTAAATATATGGTGATGGGTGTTATTGATCGAATGTATGCTATCATGGTATAGGATAAATGAGTATATGACGTTAACCCATAATGGTATAAACAGCTGTTGAAATAGAAGTGCAATCTATGGGCATATGGGGGTGTCAATGATCCCTACCATGAAATGATTGGTATTTTAGCAACAAATTCGGGGTATTCAGCCGAACATGGGGATTTAACCATCCAACACTGGAATTTGATATACAAAAAACAGCCAGTAGATGGGAAACCATAAGCGATTTATATCCAAATGTTATATATGTAATGTCAAATGATGTAAAATTGTTTTGACACAGGGGCATGGGAACATCAAACCAACCTTTTGATGAGGTAAATCTCGGCTTCTGAGAAGATCTGGGTTGGTATATCCAATAGGAGATGTTTTTTATGGGTTATGCAGCCAACTTTAAGGGTATTTTATGTTTAAAGGGGTCTTGAGGTTCCGTCTAAAACGGTGTTTATCTGTTCATTCACAAGTGTCAACACTCCCAACACTCCCCCAAGAGAATCAGTGCATGTGGGACAAAAGCCATATGTTTAGGCCGTTGAAGCTGGCGTTGCTTCATTGGATTTATTTGAGTTGGACCCGCAGACCATCTGAAAACAAGACACATTTTTTTTCGCGTTAGTAAGCAAATTTTTGCCCAAAGAATGTTGAGTTCAAGAAATGATTGGTGCCAAATCCATCAAAAAACTACCAGGACACTGGGAGGCTTTCTGGATGCGCAAGCCCCGCTGAAGTTTTTGTTAAGTCTCGAGAAGTTGGTGGTTCAAACCCGTGGTTTTTTAATTTTCCCAAACCTTTCTGAGGATTTATCTGCTGGTAAATCATGCTTTTCCCTATGATGGTAAATCATACTTTTCCCTATGATAATTGAGATAATTGATATTGGTATGATTTCCCCATTTTCAGATACCATACAACATTTTTTAGTTGGATTAACATGTTACCGCTAATTGTCTAACCAATAACATATCCCCATGAAGAATCATGAGGTTGATCATGGTTGCTCCAGTCCATTGTAGGTAAATTAAAGCCACATTTGGAGGGGTTTAGAGGATCATTTTATCATATTTTACCTCTATAGTCTATATTTACATATGTCTACCCAAGTTACCCCTCTTGTACCTGGGGTCTTGGGAGCTATCGATCTTGGTTTTCCTGCCATTTCTGAGGATTTATCCGCAGGAACGAGAGCGAGACTTTCAGCTCCTACGCTGCAGCGAAGGTTCGAAGGACTCTGTGGAGAAGGATTGGATGAAGATTTTGATGGAATCTTAATGACGAAATTATTAGTTAACAGAATGTTACTGATGTAGTAGTTGATTAATCTTAATGATGAATAGTAGCTACTGAATCTTAAATTTGAACAAGGTTACTGTAGTAGTGAGTCCTGAAATCTTAAAATGATGAAAATAGTTTCGGAATCCGAATGTGAGACGGACGAAATCATCCAGAATGATTTCAGCCCCAGAATCTTTGGGTCAAAGATCTCAAGCTCGCTTTGCCCACTTGGACTCATTTGTAGCGACTTAACCACAACATACTGAAACTTTTAAAGAACGTCGACGTGCCTCCCTCTGACGGCTAGTGATTCCAGTCTGATGCTTGTTGGTCTCCAGAGACTTGCTTATCTATTGTTGATGATGTCACCCTTTTGCATGTTACATCCTCCATTGGCCATTTTATTGAATATTTATTGTATTATATATATATGAATATCTCCAGTTTTCTCTTGGTAACTGTTCGGTGTTTCATGGTTCGTTGCAATGATCATTGACATTAAAAAACATATGATAAAAGATGCAGACATAGTATGACATAGTAGGAAATCCTTCTAAATGGTGATAGACTATGTTTCTTTCTGCTCGACTTTATCATGTGGTACACTAACATCATTAGACACGGAAATCGGTTGGTTTTCGCAGGAAAACCATCTACAAATGGTGGGTTTTTCATGTCTATGTTCATTTGAGGATGGTAAATCCTTATTCTTTTTCCATTATACTCCCATCATATGTCCACTGGTTTTTGGTTACACCCCCATTTTTGATTGGTAACCCCCATATATCCCCATTAGTCTTCATTATACTCCCCAATGATTGTTGCTTACATCCAAATTGTTGATTGTTACCCCCCAGTAGATTAACATAGACCCTGCCAGAAGATTAGTTTCCATTAAAAAATTGTAATTTTCAGGCTCGAGGCTCAAACTGTTAATTTACCAGAGGATAAATCATGTTAAATCCTTTTTTTTGTACGAATAGTTTGGTTGGTTGTGGTTTGCTAATTTATTGGTTACGTCCCATACGGGATCCTCCTGATGAGTTATGGTTGGTTGTTTCCGTATTTCACCTTAGTGTTGGTTCGTTATATCATGTTACAATGTTCTGGGTAAATTTCATCACGACCTCACTGCGACCTCAGCCTGGAATCATAGTTAGATTGCGGGGAATCATCCCCTTTTATGGCCGCAAGATTCAGGTTAGTGCAATATAATAATTTACCAGAATGTTACATTCTTGTAGTTGTAACCCCAAACGATACCCTATATAATAACCTACACATTCTCAGTACGTTCCCATGATCTTCTCATTATATTCCCGATACATACATGTCCATTCTATTCTCACTCTATTCCCATTCTATTCCCCTTATGTTTATATTTCCAGTATATTCCCCTTAGATTCCGATTTATTTATATTCCTCACTTTGGGCAAATACATTGGGTATCATTCCTAGCTGCTAATGATACACTGGGATAGATTGGGTATCTATTTTTACTATGCTGGGCTAGACTAACCAGCTCGATTCTAGAAATGATTACCTAGTTGGTCTTGGGGGATCACCACATTTAGCAACTTATATCTGGTTGGTGGCTTGGAACATGAATTTTATTGTCCATTTCATATATGGGATAATCCTTCCCATTGACTTTCATATTTTTCAGCAACCAGATATAGTAAATGGGCGAATGAGCCATTTATACATGGAGGTTTCCTGAAATGTGGCGTACCCCTAGTCATCAGCCATGGATCCCCCCATGGAAAGATCCTCCGGCCGCAGTGGGTCAACGGCTCTTCGCTTCTCCCCTGCTGCACTTGCGCGACTCGAAAAGAACCACGGAAGGATCGCAGGATTAGCTGGAAATCCACCTGAAAATGGGGATTCGAAGAAAATCATGCGAAAATCCGAATCAAAATGGAGGTTTACATACGAAAATCACGGGAGGATCTCTATAAATGGAGGTTTCGAGATGGAAACATCATCTATAGCTGAGGGATTTTCCAGCATGTTTGATGACACCGGAGGGTATGACCCATTTATGGGACCCAGTTAGGGGATCCCATGGGAGATCTTTTTTCGTGGGATTTTCCTATGGGACTCTATGGCGCTATGCCGCTATGCCAATCATGGGATAGTGGGCAAACCTTGGATCGTCCCTTTGATTTTTGGTCCTTAACATTTCCCCTCTGGTAATTTAACATAGCTATTGAAAATGGCCCATTTATAGTGGATTTTCCCATTAAAAATGGTGATTTTCTTAGTTTACCAGAGGGTAACATTTAGATATTTTCAAAGCAGTCAGTTTAATCAATGAGCCTTTTTTGTGTATTTGATTTACCCTAGGCCCTAGGCAGTATCTGCCAATGTGTCGTTTTATCCCACTTGGATTTGCATTTGCAAAATCGGCGAGTTCAACATAGTAATTGGGTTTTATGTCACCTTTTTGTTTGGGGGGTCTTGCATTTCGATTTGATGGAGGGATGTATCGCCGGATTTTGACCTGTGTGACTACGGACGTTTGCGCCTTCGATTATGCAAAGTGAAAGCCACAACACTTGAAGCCTTAGACCTCAAAAAACGGTTTGCAATGCATTCTCAATGAAACGTCCTGACATATACTCTGACGTTTCGTCTGACAAAATAGTCAGACCAACAATCTTATGTCAATGTACATATATAGTGAAAATTAAATAAAATTAACGTGACAATACGTGATATGTTCGGCAACAAATTCTGAATTTCCTTCTGATATATTTCCTCTATGCAACTGTAGACTGCGAGGTACCTGCCAGCAATCTGTTTAAAGAAGGCCAGCGTGCCCCCATAGAACTCTGCCAACGTTTCACTCTCGTACTGGAACCTGGTGTCATATAATTTGACATCTATCTTGGCAGATATTTTGACCTGACGTATATGTATTATATTTATTTTATTTTATCCCAAATATCTGGTGACAGATAATAATCCCATGTATTTTGGGATTTGTTCCGGTATTATTCTTTATCTGGACAAGTAGCCTGACGCTTTTTGTGACAAGTCTGACGTATATGCTGGCACACTTGTGACATGTTGACATTTTTCCTGATCAGTCTGACGCGTCGTGTCTTTGCTTACTTGGATGCATGGACTTCGCCGAGCCCAGCCAGATCAGTTCCACCTTTTTGGCTTCGGGGCCAGAACAGATTGCTGGAGGGCAATACCCCAGCAACTTTGGTGGCCGAATGCTGGGGAAATGGAGCCCGAAGGGTGCAAAACTGGAACCAATTGAAGTACCTTCCCCGACATCGGTCGTGAGGTGGGGGTGCTTGAAGTTGTCGAGTTGCAATTCAACTCAATTCAACCATCATGGGCGTTGTGAAGTTTCATTCATAAAGCACTGTTGGTTTTGGTCGTACTGTCTGATTTTCTTGTAGGGCATATCACCGTCCTTATTGGCTGTATTGCCATTGATTTTGCTAAAATCCAATGTTTGGCGTTGTAATTCCAAATTATTAATTATTTTTGTTGCCTTGATATCAGATTTAAATTTGTTGTCAAATAACAACTCCAATAATATTGGGATTAAGACGGATATATACAGAGTTCCATTCTTGTTGCGTAATAAAAACGTGTTTGCATGTTAATGTTTTCTATGTTCAAACACATATCGGGATGGGCTAACACATACAGGACCATTTTTGAGGACATCAACATACATTTGCCAAGTATATTGGTGTCCACTAACCATGGTTTCAACGCGCCCACCGTTTTCTTCTTTAGTTGTTCGTTCAACTCAGGCGATGCGAATGAGTTAATGCCCTTGGACATGGCTCGCTCGGAGATGTTTTACCATGGTCTGTCCAAAGGTGCGGACAGTGACACCAATCATTTTTGGGTTTGGGTCTAAGTAATAAATATGATGATATTTTTCTTTATGGTCATTTCACTACGGTTATTTTCATGCACAATTGGTGGTCAAAAAAAATGGGAAGAAAAACGGACTTACGATTTTTTGTGAGTCACTTGTGCTGTGGACGTTATTTGTGTGTAACGGCACCCAACTTGTATCTTCTTAGAAATTGAGATGGAATCCCACACGGTTTTTGGACACATATTTTCCTCCAAACGTTCGATTTTTTTGAGGTTCTATTTTCGTCTTCCCGAGCAAAATTTGATTTGGGAAATTGAAGATGCTGCTGTTTTGAAACCCACTTGGATTTGCATCCCACTTAAACAACGTTATACATCCAGAATGAAAATTTGGTCAATTGAATTATTCGGTTTGACTGAAACTAGGTTACCCCAAAATTTAAAGGTTTAAGACCTTGTAATTTTTTTGGGTATACTGGTATATGTTGTTGTTTTTTGACAATTTTTAATCCGTATTATATTCCATTGTGGCTTAGTCAAACCCGACCCATAGAACATCACACATATTATAATTACTGCATCCGATGTATAGAGGTTTTAGCTAGATTCAATCCCAGCTCTTCCCTTCACAAATTATGAAATACCTTGCATGATTGGGACAGAGATCCATTACAATGCACCAGGGTGTCTTCATGGGATATTCATTGGGTAGCAATGGCTAATCCATTCTCTCTAGCCATTGCCTTTTGGCTATTTAACGTAGGGAACTTGAGAAGCACCATTTCTAATATATAGGTAAATCACCAAGCATCATCAACAAATGTGCGTAGCTATTTTAAATAACCAGAGGGGAATTGGTGTAGCAGTGTAGCAATTAATAGTTGGTTAACGTGAACCAACAGTTAATGCTAGCAACAATCAAACTCTCGTGTTCGAGAGCCATGCAGATATACAAAAGTGCATGACATGCCAACTGTTTGTAGGTTTCTTGAGTAATGATTAATTTCTCAGATTCTATCAAGGGTTCGGTCACTGTTTATGGATGATTTCCTCATATTATATCACCACTTTTGAGTTATTTTCCCAGATTCTTTCCCATTAGAAACCTTCTTGACATTATATTTTCCCAATGATATTCATATTCCATTAACCACTAGTTTCCCATTGAATCACCATTGAATCACCGTTGAATCACCATTCTTCCCATCGAATTTCCATGAATTTCACAGGTCGAAGAACGTCTCGCTACAGCGGCTGGGCGCCTTTCAGTGACCTTTGGCGAAGTCGGAAGGGCGAAGTGGTGAAGTCGGGGGGTCATTTCCGACATCGGTGAACATGGGTTACCCTTTGGTAATGACTAACGGTGGATTATAGTGGTATAACCATAGGAAAACCATAGGAAAATGGTGGTTTACCCTCTTTGCGAACTGGAAAGATCCACCATTTTTATATAATGAGTAAATCCACAATTTCAACTGGGCCATTTTCAATAGCAAACTGTAACAAATTACCAGAGGGTAATTCTATAGAAATAAGCCACAGGATTTTCTATGGGTTTTTTCCCATGGGTGATTTTTCCATGAACTATAAGGGTTTTATAGATGATGTATGGGTATGTCTTCAGAATAGGGCATCCCGACATCCTGTGATTAGTCACTAGTATCCCTATTCAATTATGGCAAGTTGAGGGCATACACCATTTTCTGACAAAGCCATATAGAAATGAACCACGGGGTTTTCCCATGGGTTATTTGTTTGAGGGTTTTTTGGATGATTTAATGGATAACAATAGAATATGCGAAAGTGATGATACATCAATTATACATGGAAACTTTTTCTTGGGGGAGATTCTTTGCATGGTTTCAGCAATAAAACTTGTTGGATTTGTTCAAGTCTATAGTGAGATATAAAGGAAAACACACATACAAATGGACATATCGCATATGGGATTTACATAGAATATAATATGATATAATATGATATAATCATATTTGACATATCGTTACAAGGTACAATACATAATTTTCATAACATACCAAAAAGTACAACTGTACAATTGTATTTTCACATACCAAAAAGTTACAATACATAATTTTCACATCAATACAAACATGAAAGTATAACTGTATATGGGTGTGTCTGAAAATAGTGTACCCCTTTTTACCCAATGGTTTTGCTGATCATTATCCCTATTAAATGGCTATTTGTTTGGGAATATACCCCATTTTCAGACAAACCCAAATGGCTTTAGATGCTTATCTGGTTGGTAGTTTCAAACATTGTTTATTTTCCATAATATATGGGATAATCCTTCCATAATATACCCAGACAAACCCATATAGATAGAGCACTTGTGACACTTTTGCGCATCCACGACGATCCGATCCAGGATTGGTTCCGCTACGAGCTGCTGGGCCGGCACCGGCACCGTTCCGCGACGGAAGGCGGTGCCACGAGTGCCGTGGCGGCGGTGGGCTGGGTGGATGCTGACAGCTTCAGCCTGCGGAATCTGCAGGAACTCCTGGAGGCGCGGCTGGGTCAACTGATAGACTGGCTGGTGGTTTGAAACTATGGTTTATGGTATATAGATATAACATGATATAACTATAGTTAATGGGGATGATAATGGTTTATAAACCAACAAGCATGAATTTATTTTTCCATTCAGTTGGGAATGTCATCATCCCAACTGACGAACTCATATTTTTCAGAGTTGAAACCACCAACCAGCATAAGGGGTTGATATGTTTGAAAGAGAAGGGGTGGTTAAATTTTAATTAAAATCCAGCGAAAAGATAAGAGACTCGTATAAGGGGTTGATATATCATTGAGATATCCCAGGCCTTCCGAAGGCCAGGTTAAACTTGGCCGTTACACTAACAGCCGGCCGTTACCTAAAGACCATCGAAAACCCATGGTATTTTTGTTGATCTGGGGGAATCTTGGGATATATGTTGACATATATATGGGGAAAGCCACCAAACCCCACATACACCCCACAGCCTTGGCAACAACAGCTGCTCGTCAACCAATTTCAAGTCTATAAGCGCCAAGACTGCTTGAAATGACCAATGGTTCCAAAGATTTCAATGAAAAACCCGTGAAAAGACTACAACATACCCCAACACATGAGTAAAAATTAGGCGCAAGTTTTTGGTGGCTTTTCACGGGTTTTTCACGGCCGTTTCACGGGTTTCTCACGGTCGTTTCACGGACTTTTCACGGTCCAGATTTTGTGGGACATTTCAGGTGGGTACTTTCACCAGATCATATTCTATTTTGCATTTGGTGACATCATGATCTAAGATGCAAACGTTTGCGCAGAGCCCGTGCTCCCAGGCGCATTTTACTTGCATCGAATTGAGCCAAATGTTCAAATGGCCTTTTTATCCACATATGTATTGACCATTATTTCCCAACATGACATGTGAGCTTCCTGGACAAAGTATGTAATGGTTGTAAACATAGCTATGTAAAGGAGCATCCTCCAACAGCCAGGTTAAACCTGGCCTGTGCTTTCTTTCGTCCTTCTGCTACGCAGCCTCCCTTTCCTTCTGAGAAGGAATTGTGGATGAACATGTCCTTCAGAGGCGATGATGCTTAACCTGGCCGTCAGTAAAGACCAGCTTAAACTAGGTCGAGGAAGCGCTGGGTATGATTGATATGTGATGGGCCAGAACAAATTGCTGATGTGTGGTGATGGTTCCTGAGATAGAACAAGTCATGGGATGATACTTCAGAAACGAAGCATTCGTTTTACGTATCCATATTCCAAGCAGATGATGCCCCAAGAGGTCGGCCCCGTGCCGTCAGGTGGTGATGTTTGGTGATATCACCACATCCATTCACTTTGCGTTGCAGTATGTCCATGTCCCAGATCATCTGGAGTATTCTCCTTAAAAAGTAATTGAATAGATTTGGATAGGAACCATTGGATATATAGGCCAAATAATATTTGTTGGTCACAATTTCATCATTGCTGGCAAAGATCCTACTTCCTCAATCAAACTTATTTTTTGGGCCAAACTCTTCATGTAACTTGTTGAAATCATTTAACATCTTTCATTTTCTTCACTCAAGATCCCTTGTTTGTTTGGTCTAAATCATAAAGATCCCGTGTTTCTTTGGTCTAAATCATCAAGATCCCTTGTTTGTTTGTTGGGTCTAAATAATAAAAATCCCAACTTAAAATAACCCCAAACCCTCCAAAATCCCAACTCATGTTGTTCTGCGAAAACTTCCAATCAAAATAATCCAAAATCATCAAAAATCATCAGAAATCATCAAAATCCCACTTTTTTTTTTGAAAACTTCCACCCCAGGCGGACCAGTGTCCGCTGCTGCTGGGCAGCGAGCGGCACCGCAGGGATCGGCGGACCCTGGGCGCTGTGGTGCTGAAGGTGCGGGGCCACAAAAACATTGGTGGTAATTGGCATTCATATTCCCTCCGGTGATGGTAATTTACCATATTTTGAATAGTGGGTAGTCATATATGATCATAAGCCTCCCGTAATTTGTTACATAGCTATTGGAAATATTTGAGGGTTTCCATAGCCACGGGGGTACTCAAATGGTTGGTTTTCAATGGAAAACCCATCTATAAATGGATGCTTACTGTGTATCATTTTGTACCATGCTACCAACTTGTATAATCCATGATACCCCATCAACCAATGGTAATCAACCAATCGTAATTCACCAATAACCCGACTTTGAATTATGAATGAACCAACAAATTAATTAGGTTTTCTGCAATGAACATCATATCTTAGGAAATTAAATATATGTGAGGCCGTGTGAACCAATGCGAAACTTACATCTAATTAAACTTTGCGACAAACATGTCTTAACTAAATAGTTTTAAAGAGAGTTTTCACGGGCAAACATACATTATGGGAAACCTAGCACGCATAACAAATTGCAGCCCACGAACCCGAATGCAGTTACGTGAAACACTTTTGTGAAACAAGTTATTTGAAAAGTCTTGTATTTTTTTCCCCTGTTACCGTACCAGTGCACTATAGACTGTGGAATGTGGAATGGGGTGGAATGCAGAGTGTGGAGTGTGAAGAAAGTGGAGTGTTGAGTGGGGAATGTAGTGTGTAGAGTGTGGAGTGGGGATTGTGGAGTGTAAAGTGTAAAGTGTGGGGTGGAAAGTGTGAAGTGTAGACTGCGAAGTGCTAAGTGTAAAGCGGAAAGTGTAGAGTGTGGAGTGTAAAGTGTAGAGTGTAAATTGTGGAGTGTGGAGTGTAAAGTGTGGTGTGTAGTGTAGAGTGTGGAGTGTGGAGAGTAAAGTGTAAAGTGTGGCGTATGGAGTGTGAAGTGCAGAGTGTTAAAGTGTAGAGTGTAGAATTTGGAGTGTAAAATGTAGAGTGTAACGTGTAAACTGTAAAGTGTGGAGTGTAAAGTGTTGAGTGTAGAGTGTGGTGGGGTGTAAAGTGTAGAGTGTGAAGTGTGGAGTGTGCAGAGTAAAGTGTAACGTGTTGAGAGTAAAGTGTAAAGTGGGGGTGTAAAGTGTAAAGTGTAAAGTGTAAAGTGTGGAGTGTAAAAGTGTAAAGTGTGGAGTGTGGAGTGTAAAGTGTAGAGTGTGGAGTGTGAAGAGTAGAGTGTAAAGTGTAAAATGTAGAGTGTAGAACGGAGTTCGTTCAGCCAGCAAAGCAACGTAAATGGTCATGATGATTTGGTACCAGCAAGTTTATGTGGTAATATTCACGTAGCACAACTCGTAGTTTCCAAAATAAAACCTTGTTTTTACTGGACATAATGTGGCATACTCCTTTGCTGTTGGTTAATCAGGGATGGATGACCATCTGACCATATCTCAAATATAGATCCTAGGATATCCAAACTTGACCATGGCGCTAATCCTCACGATGATGTTTGCACTTCTGGGAGTGCCCTTCTTGGGCGATGGCTAGTTGATGCTTTGATGAAAATCATGGAACCTACGAAAAAAATAGGTAAAACAAACCAGAATCCAACCGAACATGCTATAATGCTTCTGGGCCAAACGGAACATTTGTTTTCCTGTTGAAAATCAACCCAAAAATCCATCATATATCCATCATATATCCATCATATGGATGTGTCCCAAGTCATGGGTTCCCATCATCCAAGTCATTAGATCTTGAAACTCCTGGTTCCCATCATCCCCCGCGGCGACCGGGTGCAGGGCACGGACGCCGAGCGCTGGTCGTCCGCCTGGTCCTTCGCACCGGTGAAGCTCCGGGAGTTTCACCGCTGGAGCAAGGCGTGGAGCTACCGGGATGGTCCAGTTTCAACGGATTCTAATGAGGAGTATATCAGTATATCCCATTAAAATAGTATATTCAATAGTATATCCCCATTAATATCGTATATCAGTATATCAGTATATCAGTATATCAGTATATCAGTTATTATAATAGGAGGAGTATCCCCAATATCCAATAGATTCCAATAGCATATTATCAATGGGGCTATGTAAGGGCTATGTAAGGGGATATTCGGATATACCCCCAAAATATGGCCAAAAACATGGTACGTTTACGTACCTCCATTTTAGGATCCTGGAGATCTCCCATTGATATTGCATATTATGGCATATAAATAATTTGATATTGGAAGAACGGTCTGTAGTCATGGGTTACTTGGAAGATCTTGGAAGTGCAGCGAACTAAGTGGATAGATTCTTTTCTACCATAGTTCTAGGGGTTATATCCCAACTTATATCGTGGCCAACATTTTGAGCAAGGCCTTGACCCAGAAGTCGCGAGTTTTTGCGAGTGAACAGTAAGTGCTTAGATAATACTTGGGATTACCTAGTTAATAGTGAATAGTGGTTAATGTGGTTGTAGCCAGTTAGTATCACCTAGTTAATATCACTCTGGTTGGTGTTTTTTTCCAATAATATATGGGATAATCCTTCCCATTGACGTTCATATTTTTCAAGGTGGTTGAAACCACCAACCAGCACTGTTATCACAACTGGGGTTGATAGTTAATATCCACTCAAATGGGATAAGCCTAGGAAATGGGGACTTGCGAACACCATATGCGGGGATGGTATCCAGCAAGGATGATTTGGCATTTTCTGAGAGACTTGGATGGAAAACTGACCCAAAAATGGATGATGTCTTAAATAGACTCCCAACACGCTCCACTTGTAACGGTTGCCTCTTTGCAATTTCTTTTTGTTCGTGGGACAAGTTTTGTGTAGCATAACCAGCTAGAAATGAGGATTCTGGGCGTTTCATGGCGGAGCACAGCATGTTGGAGTTGGGACATGTTGGGACCCCTGCGAGCCTCAACGTTGAATCCACCCAACCTGAACACACATAATTACCAATCTCATGGTTTGTACCAGCGATCTACATTTGCGTTTGTCAAAAAAACGTGATGTATTCCCCAAGATACCTAGATCCACCTTGTGGCTGAAATAAGTGCCTTTTCCAATTGTGGCTGAAATGTTGGCCGTCACCTCTGGAAAACGCCGTCATGAAAAATAAACGCCGTGGCTCAACAAAAATGCCGTCAGATTGAGAGTGAACCATGATTTTCCAATCTATGTGTTGAATCCCTTTGAATTCTGAATGGTTAAGATGTTTGTGGGCCCGGACTTCAGTGGCAAGTGATGCCCATGATACATGGGAGAGTAAAAACGTTTTCATCCCAAACCTTAAGCCAAGACCCTTCAAAAGTTTTATTTCAAAACATTCAAAACCCATGTAAAACAGAGTACGGGGATTTACGCCGTAATTATGCCAATTTACGCCGTAACTTGGGAATGTGTTTTTGGGCATGTGTTTACTTTTTCTGAAAAGTACTTTTTGGATCTTTTTGGATTCTTAGTGGCAAGCATCATGGACTGCTAACAACCTTTTTGCAACAGCAGGCTGTCACCGGTTTGGCCAAAGCACTGTAATTGACTTTAACTACCCTTGACCAAAATGATGGACGTGGAGAAATGAGCCAAATCTTTGGCATAAAGAAATGCCGTAGCCAAAGAAATTGCGCCGTAGTACGGGTAAAGGCTACTTTCTGCTAAAAGTGCCGTGTTCGAGGTTCTAGGATTCTAGGTATTGCCGTTGGGTCAAATGATGACAACATAGATACGCTGCTTCCTTTTTAAAATTTGTTCTATCTTGTTTTCTGTGAAAATAGGGTACCCCCTTTGAATACATTGCTTTAGCACTGTTTTTTGTTTTTAGAAAAAATGCAACTCTAGAGTCTAAGCAATTTTAAGACATTGCCAACGATTTTGTCTTTAGGCAAAGCCAAATTTCCTTGGTAACTCCCATCCCAGACTCCCATTGTTGCCATTGCTGGTTGAGAGTCACCATGCCCCATGAATCTCCAAATTTGACCCAACAAAAACATCAACATGGGTAAATAGAATCATGACCGCACTGCTAAGTCATTGAAATATTGCATGAACTTATGATTACCCTCTAGTAAACGTTTACAGTTTGCTAGTGATAGTGAAAAAAAATCCATTTGACATGGGAAAATCACCATTTTTCATGGGTAAATCAACATAAATCCTTTCTATTTCGACTGGGCCAGCTATTCAAGTTCGCAAACTGTGAATGTCATAACCAGGCCGGGTTTTTTTAGTGAAGTTCACCATCCAAAAAAAAATCGTGTTATTTCCGGGTAAACAAAGAAGTGAATTTTGTTGATCCAGATATATCTCCAATATAAAGTGATGAAATATTATTAGTAACACTTAATACAGTAATTAGATCACTAATTATAGATCACTTAATGTAGTGATTTGTTATATCTCCACATATTATATCACTAAAAAAAAAAACGCAATCCCAGTATTGCCAGTACTGGTTGGTTAAACTCCCGCTGGTCAAAGCCCTTTTTTGTGGTTGGTTAAATCACTATGTCCATCCCGGAATCTGAGCCCGGCCACATATGACTGGCTGATTTCGCAGGGTTCTCTGGACTTGTCTCGAAACTGAGATCCAGTTCAGTAAGTGGGATGCACTAAACCACTAAACCACGCCCTTTTCCATCCAAACATGTGTGTCATTTGACATCTCATTTTTGCTTCTTAAACCCGAAAACATGGGGCACTTGTTTAAATGACAATCTTCACAACACCCCATCGCCATTTCGTGTTGGTTAAATCCAATAAAATTGGCTCCTGGAAAAATACCAGTTCTGGCTGGTTGAAAAATCACTGTGCGTTGCTCGGCTCATCATGTCAGAGATTGTCAGAGGCTTTCCAAGGATATTCCACCAATAATAGTGGTTATAATACCAATAATAGTGGTTATATGATGGGATGATATGATGGGATTATAAATAACCATGTTATACTCGATTTATAGATGGTTTTGAGCTTTTCCTATGAAAAACAAACTATTGAATAGATGATCATATTCCCATTTTTTAAAATCATTTGCTGGGTTTTTATACATGAATGAAACAAACTCTATATCAGACATGTTTAATCTCATTATAGATCCCCATCAAGTCCCATTTTTCAGATGATTTTCCTAATATATTCCCATAAATGTCCATGTTGTCAGATTATTTTCCCATAATTTTGCAGGATAGATCTGACACATCTCCAGGCCCATCCGGACCTGTGCCTGGTGACCAACAACCTCCTCCTCCTCCGTCGCGCGGTGCCGTCGTCCGTTGAGCCGTGCCGCGAGATGTTGCGCTGCATGGCGGATGAGATGCGCAGCGCATTGCGGAGACGCTTGGCGTTCTGAAAGGGTCATGGAGGGCATAGAAGTTGGCTTTAGAATGGAGGATTTAAGCAAGCAAAGTGGTGATTTACTGGGACTTGATGGGATTTAGTTGGCTAAGTTGGTTCTGACTATAATTGACCAGAATAATTATATGGAAAAGTGGTATAGAACTGGGGTAGAATATGTTTTCTTAGCAGTTGATTCTTGTGTTTTTATGCCCATCGAGTAACTCGAGCAAACATTTTTGGTGCACCTGGGCGGATTGTTGCATCACTGCATCACCAGATGTGTTCGTGGTAAGATTCCTTGATTTTGTTGAGGAAAAGTTACAAGGATCGCATATTGAAGTATATATGGTTTAATAGAGACACATAGAATCCATGATTTTGTTTAACAAAGAAACAACACACCAATGAAAAGACATGTATATAATTATATAAAATTATATAAACATGTTTGTTTTATAAATTTGAACGTTTCCACATATTACATCTTACTGCATACTTTAACTGAACCAAACACTTGATGTCCTTCAGTTTTATCCCAGTTTTCCAATGGCTAAATGCAAACTTGTCCCATTCATTTATCATCAAATGGTTGGGATTCCATCCCAAGTATAATCATTGGATCCGTACTCCTACTCATGTACCATTTCTCATTCATTGGTGACTATATCCCATGATACTCCGAGTCACAAATTTGTAATATGTCAACCCCAAAAGATAGACACAAAATTAATCACGCTTTTAGAATCGGACTTTTTGGCATCTTCTTGGGTGTTACTATGACCCAAAACATGTTTGTTTTTTTCACATGTTTTCTTACTTGTGCTAAACGTAGGGAAGGGAATGATCCACTGGCTAACTATCAATAATCCCAGCAACCCCCAGCAACCCATCCATTCCCGTTTAGCACCTGCCACCCCGAGGCGGAAAGCTGCAAAGTGGAACGCATGGCATGACGCTCCTGCAGCGGGCCGTACGCCAGGCAAGATCTGGGAAGTTTTGCAAGGGCATTAAACAAGAAACACAACCAAACTGGGAAGTTAACCTCTGGATACCTCTGGGAATTCAACAACTCGCGAACTGAAAATCATCATTTTCCATAAGTAAATCACGGAAGTAAATGGGCTATGGCTTGCATAGCCATATCAAATCACAAGTGACCTCAACGGACAAAGTTGGGGTTTTCATGGGGGTTCATAGGGTGCGTGTGTATACGCAATTCTTAGGGTTTGTACGCACAGGGGATATAGTGGCGAAATACAACAAACAATACCAAAACGTGCCAAAAACACAAATTTATTCAACCAAAATGACGATGAAAACAATAGATAAGGGAATCTATTAAGGATATAGTGTCAACTCTCATAATTTAAATAAATAAGATAATTATATATAAGGTTTAGGATATTTGCCAAGCAGCAGTTTCAGCTTGTGAAGAAATTGCATTGAATCCCAGTGCAGCCTGCACCTGCCATCCACATGGCTCATGTGCAGATCTTGGGTGACAAGCTCCAAAAGTCAATGGGGGCCACGATATGAAACAACGACCCGACTGGCAGCTAGAACAATCCATTGCTTGGACCTGATATGATTCACCTGGCCATGATATGAATGACAGTGAATGATGTGGTGATGCTTTTTGCTGCAGACTGATTTGGGTTCCAATGTCTGTCACATCGCTTCCGCAATTCCTAGGAACACAGGGGTACGTTTTTGAATAAAAAGGGGGAAGGGATTATTCTTCCAGCGTTTGATATGGATGCAGTGATTTAGACGTATACACTGTACACCTTAATTTCCCGCGAGTCAACGGGAAAACGGATGACAAACCTTGGGATTGGGGGGTACCTTTTTAAAAAAAGATCCGAAACAATGGTCACATTTCCACAAGGGTGACCAACACTTGTAGGCTGGACCACGTCGAGTGCGGATACTTCATTGGTCCGTGTTCAATCCGGTGCAGGCGCCAGGGAGAACTGTGCCAAAAAAACATTGCCAGGAACCAACAAGACAAAATTAGTGTTGCATTGTTTGTGGTTTTCTTTTGATTTTCTTGACCAAAACATGATTTGTTCCATTTTTTGTTGCTTAATCCACAATTTACATTGTAGCTTGTTAAACTCACAATGTTCGTCAAATTTTACCAGGTTTCCCCAAGTTTAACAGGCCTCTCAATGTTCAATTGATCCCTCAGTTGTTCCAGATGTTTGCGATGAAAATTTTGATGAGTCCAACATATTGAGTTCCAACATGTTTCAGAAAAAAATTAGATCTCAGCAATTAACATCCCAGCTTTTCTCCAGAGGTTTCATATGAAATCATGGGATTTTCCCACGAAGATCCCAGAAATCATCATTATCCCATAAAATCCATATGTTCTTATCCCAAAATAATGATAAACCATGATTATCCTATGATAATCCTATGATAATTATGACAATCCCATTATTATCCCATAAAAATAACATTTTCTTCTGATAATCCTATGATCATCCCATGATTCTCACCATTTTTTCCCACCATTTTTTCCGGGCGAAACGGCGAAACGCCAGGCCACTGAGGCGTCTCGGCTACACCGCTGTTTGGAGGGCCACGACGTGGCGCTGTCGCAGAAGGCTGTGGCGCTGCACATCTTCCGCCAGGCGCCGGTGGGGAGTTCAGCAATGGGATTATCCATGGTTAATGGTTAATAATATCAATGAATGGTTATATAATGGGATAATATGGGATAATTAATGGGATGATTAATGGGATGATTGTGAGTAATAGTAGTTGTAATGGGACAATTAATGGATGTATAATGGATAATTAATGGGATAATTAGTGGATAATGGGATATCATACTTCCCATTATAACCATTTTAATAATATCAATGAATTGGAATATCATACTAGTGATAGTAATCAGATACTACTATTACTCAATTACTCATCATCAATGGTTGTATAATGGGATAATTAATGAATGTAATAGGTGATAATCCCATTATATGGGATTATAATAATAGGTTTTATATGGGATTATCCATTATATGGGATTATCCATAATCAATGAACGGTTGTATAATGGGATATTTTTTTTATGGGTTGATTATGAGCACTAGTAAGTGGAATTGGATATCATACTAGTAATATTGTTATCCAATGATATGGGCAAATAGAAATAATAGTAATAATCCATTAATTTAATCTAAATTAATAGTTGTTAATTATTAATCCACTGGTATCCATTGTTTTTCATTGTTTTTAATCCAATAATTAATAGGACGCTGAGAATGCGATAATTAACATAAATAATCGTAATAAATAATAATCCATTAATATAGTTATTAATTGTTAATAGTATTAATAGATGGTTGTATAATGGGAAAATTCATGGGATAGTTTATCCATATCCCATTGATATCCAATACTTAATGGGATATGGACTAATAATGATCAATAGTACTGGGATATGATTCATGGGTAGTATATTGTTATGGAATATGATAATCCCACTGATGATGACAAATAGAAATACAATGGCATATAATACTGGCAATATTGTTTTCCAATGATATGGATTGATAGAACTAATGATAACCATCCCTTAGTAGTTTTTAGTTATTAATCCACTGTTATCCATTGTTTTCCACTGTCATCCACTTTTATTAATGCGTGCGGATTGACTTGCACTGTCAATTCCCTGACCCACATACGTTGGGTTCATGCAGTGCTAAGTAGTTCCTGTTGATGGTTGATAGAATTAATGGTAATGCAACGGCTAAAGTGGGAATATGAATGCTTGATGGTAATCCAACGGACAAATATGAGATACTACGCCAACTTATACAACGTTGACAAGTTGACAATGCATATCAATGGATAGTGGGAATATGTGGGATAATCAATCAGATATTTAATGGATCAATGGCATGCATGGTTTTATTGATGGCACTTGCGGGAATATCACAGGGACACAGTTTTAACCCATTGGTGATTTCATCCATCAAAATGTTGATGGTGATGAATGGGATTGTAATGGCTTAATGATGGTTAATGATTACTGATTCAATGCGATATTCAATGGGGTATTCAATGGGATATGCCTCTGGTGTCGTTAAACGTGGCTAGCTGGAAAATCCACCATTGGGTTTGATGATTTTCCCAGCAAGAAACCTCCATTTAGTTCGGGGATTTTCCCGCCAGCCATGTTTGAGGACAATATCCTAGAGATATAATCAAAATATATAATTACATGGGGATATGGTGGTCAGTGAAAAGATTGTGGAACACAATGGGAACATTTTTTGCAAGAAATATGGGAGTTAAACAACCAAAAACGGGATTGAAGCAACCAAGACTGTGATTTATATAATTTGCTAAAACGGTGATTCCAAAATGGGGATAGGCTCTCTAGTGGGGAGGGAGCAAAGGAACTACAATCAGAGTCTCCCAACCATATGTGATAATGGATCAAAACCTGTCAACGTACTTCATTTTAATCATATTCGGGTAGATGATCCAACTACCAGCTATGTCGATGTGTACAGGATTTTGACCCGCAGCTTGATATGGGGGTATAATGGGGAGATCTACAAGATATGGCCTTTTTGAAGCTCCGCATCGGAAACTTCCCCCCGTGGGATGCACATGAATCATTCACATATCCTGCAAACTCGTAAAAAAAATAATGGACACACATTCTCCCCGTGTCCTGGTTCAAAAAATCCGGGGGTGTAAGGTAGAACAGGTAGAACGGCCGAGGTTTGTCATTTGTCGTTACAGGATGGTGAGCCAACCAAAAATGCTGAATAATGTTGGTAGCAACCAAAAGTCATCAACCATTCCCAACTTCACCATTTTTATAGGTGGTATGGTTACCATTCCCAAATGGATGATTTATTGTTTTACCCATATGGCTATGAATCAATACCTATTAATACCATTTTTAGAGGGTTATTCACATCCATAAATCCCAGCTATTTTGATGTGAACTACAGGGGTACTATTGGTTTTGACACACTGCCATATGATTGTTGTTGCCCGAATCTTTCCGCTTCATCGTATAAACCATTCCCAAATGGATGATTTGTTGCTTTACCATGTTTTACTCATGTTTTACTCATATTACCATGAACCAACCTTCACCCCATCCGAGTTCCTTGGTCCGTCCCGCAGGTTCGGGACGAGTGGGTCAAGCTGGGTACCTCGCAGCTGGAGAACTGATAGAAACTAACCATACCTAAATACATATATACGTATATTATGTATAATTATGTATATATAATGGTAAATAATAATGGGTTAGGTATGGGTTAATGTTAATATGGTAGTCATGGGATATTGGTAATAATAGTAAATAGTCATGACTATCTAATGGTAATAATGGATAATCATGGGATATTGGTCAAGTTGAGACACACCTTTTTTATCACCCAAGTGTTTGAGACCGGGAGATCTGACTAGTGGTTTGGAAATGTTTCAAATTCAAGCGTTGTTTATTTGTTTATTTATTGACATCAATTTTCAGATTTTTCAACCCAACAGAGCGGGATGATGGTCCTAATCGACTATATAACTATATATATAGTTTCTAATGGAGCCCCCCATACTGCTTGATCAAGTCTATATCATTAGATCCCAGACAAAGGGCATCAGAGATGGATCAACAACTTCATGCAAAAAGGACCCGGCGAAATCCGCTCCCCTTTTTCGACTAGGCAACTAAGTGGGTTTGTCGAGAAATGTGGTATACCTCCCAGCCATTGACTAATGTGGTGAAGGTTCTTAACTATTCTAGAAAGATTTGCAGGCACGCCATGGCACGCGCCCATTTTCAGAGAAGCCCAAATGGGTTTGTCCAATGTTTTCCCCACACAATTTGCCATTTGAGGGGGTTTATCAGTTTATCACCCATTTCAACGGTGCCAAATCACTTGAGCCGCAATTGGTCATATTTTTTATTGGTAAATATTTGAAATGAATAGCTTTATCTTTGGATATCTTTGGTAAATATTTGAAATGAATAGACACCAGACATGACCCAAATATTCAAATCCCAGGTTTTGGGTAGTTCACAAATGTTCACATGGACCCGAGGTGATCATGTGCAAAGGATTGATTTTAGGGACAATGGGTACACACTGGCTTGGAACATCCACTACCAAATCTTCGTGAAAACCGTGTGCAAAATGACATGCTACCGGGTTGTGTCACACAAAACATTATCAAAGCGTAAAAACAGCAGAGAAAGATACCATGAAATCTATCATAATCAACATATATATATTGTTCGAACACTACCAAAAAGACAATATAACATGGTTGAGTTGTTTCAATATTATTCACATGAACGCATCCCACATACTGTGCCTTAGAGGATCACCGGGTTTCAAAGCCAAAGTGGGGCCAACGAAATCACTGTGGTGAACAAAACTCCAATGTCACTATGGTTTATGAATGTTTATGATACTTCTAGCTGTAGTATTCATGGGGTGAAACTAAAGCAACAAACAAAAATCATGGGGGCTCCCCACATGGTATCCGTGGTATCCGATCCTCCAAGTAGTGTGGGGAATATCTCACTTGGATGATCCCATGCTTCGTAACTACATCGGTGACGATCTATGAATTGATCATTGTTTGATGATAGTAGTCATGTCAACTATCTATTGATAAAGGTTGTATCATCATCTAAAGGTGATTACCTATGAATAGATAGAAATTGATTTATCTAGAGTCTAGAGGTTATTATATATATATATACATCTTTTAATTCATCATTTTTTTGTCTGATGATATATCTATTTACTCCGTGGGAAACTAAGATGGCTATGGACAAATGACCCATAGAAACAGATGATTTACAGATGATTTACCTATTAAAAAATGGTGATTTTCCAGTTCGTGATGCTAAAATGTCCAGAGAATTTACCATTTTTCTCCGAAAATTTGGGACCATGAATCCAATGGTCCCATTCTTTGTTGCTAAGGTTTGCCCATGCCAAAGATGATGCCACGGAAACAAGAAAAGCCGAACCAAGGTTTCGTTGGGTACGGAGAGATACGGAGAGAATGGCATGATTTTTTTAATGGTTATTTTATGTTATCATTATGGAAATCTATGGTTTTTATAGGGTATATCATGATTAAACAATGGTAAATAATGGTTATTATCAGTAACTATAGTTACCATCTGGTTATTTAACATAGCCATGGTATAGATGGCCCATAGAAATAGATGGTTTACCTATTAATAGCATGGTGATGGATGATTGTTACCCTATGGTAAATAAACAGTTGGACCTTGGAAATCACCAATTTGTAATGGAAACTAATCTTCCAACCCTAATGACTGCCAGGGTCTATGTCAATTTACTGGAGGGTAATGGTTATTTTTAATGTTGTCATTTTGTCATCATAAAAATCTGGATCGTTGCCCCTTTGTTCTTTCTAAGCACCAGTAGGTTTTGCAGAAATGATATACATGATAAACTATATGATAAACACGGACATTCTTTTAAATTGTATCTAATTAACGTGTTAGCATCATTTAACCAACATGAAATATGGACGATTTGACGCGATTTGAGGTGAATTACCATTCGGAAATTCAGCCCCGACGTATTTGGCGTTGGTTTTGGCAATGGGGATATGTCTCGCATGCAAATCAAGAAATAAAAAAAACAAAACTGTGCAAGATCAAAATGTGACATTTGCCAAATCTGTGTTTAATCTGTGTTTCATGGTTTGCATGTTGACGTGTCTGTTTTGCTTCTAACACAGCCATGAAATTGAAGATCGAACCACCCAAAAATGGCTACGAATATGGACAGGCCGTCATTTTCTAGGGCCCCTTTGATGGTACATTCACTTAAATACCATGATTATATATATATCATGTATCTACAGTATATATATTATTCACATGTTCCCCGGTTCCCCCCTTATGCGGATACATATACCATAGTTACTAACCAGCTACCATTGTTTTGGCAGGGTATCTAAGATTCTCCCATGGCATGGCGATTGCGCGAAAACGTAGGTGAACTGGCCGCTGTGGCGACGCCCAAAAGCGGTGGCTTGCTGGACGGGTGAAATGGAATAAGGGATTGGTTTCATTTCATAATCCACATGAGCTATGGTCAATACTCATGGTTGATAACCATTAATAGGGGCTAGTCATCCAATGGTTCATAGGGATTTATAATAACCATTATAAGGATCCTTATTATGGATGGGATGACCTTCAACCATATAGTGAGTATTGACCATGGCTCACATATACCCAGATCATGCATGTTTTTTGAATATATTGATGATATGCCGGTGAAAATCAAAAACGCCCGATCAGTACATGTCACTCCCATCGTTCCAAAAATGGCCCAGAAACAGTTGCTGGTTGTTGCCATTTTGCCGTGTTGGATCGTATTGAATAAACATGTTGGTTTCTGCATGTGCCATGTTCCTGTTGGTAAACAAAATGTTGGATGCCAGTGCACCATTCTGGCGTAGCTGGATGATGGTAAAGGAGCGTAGCTGGATCATGGTAAAGGAACGTATCTCGGCTTGTAAAAAAAACTTTAAGTGTGGGTGGTTGTAACAACATCTAACAATTCGAATCATTTTGACATAAATCAATATGGGTTTGTCTGAAAATAGGGTATATTCCCAATTATAGCCATTTAATAGGGATAATGATCATTAACCATTGGGTTTAGGGGTACACTATTTTCAGACACACCCATATAAAACATCATAAAACATTTATTTCTCTAAGGTTCAACAACTAAAAACCATGGTGCTTGGAGCAGCCAAAAAAAACAAATAACATTCACCGGGCTCCGCAGGAGATGCTGAACGCCTCCCGTTGTCTGACGCAGGCGTTGCCGGAGTTCACCCAAAAATCGGTTGATTTCTTGGTATTATTCGAAACCATGGTTTTTGGTAGGGAAATTCCACATCTAGGTACCATTTATATAATGTATGAGGTGTGAAATATATTTCTTGTTATTGACATGTATTGACATATTACCTCATGATCATTTGTAGGTGTTTTTCTTTCTGACATGTTAAAAAACAATGCATACATAATTTTATATATTGGAAGAACATTTGAAGTATCTGATTTATGTAGTTCATATATCACCATGTTTCATCAAGACGTGGAGTAAATGAAGGGTATTGCCATCATCAATATCCACATAGGAATATCAGCGACAAACATGTGGTGTAGAATACCCTGCGGTCAACCAACTTGGTGTTTATGGTGTGATCATTTCTGAACTTTGTTACCCATAAAGAGCATGCGTGGTTTTCCTCCCGTCTTGCTTCTTCAGCTTGGTGTCATCATTTCTCTTGTTCCGCCCTTGCTCAACCCGCGTCATGCGAGGCTGCCTAATCCTTGTTATTTTTGGAGCCTTCATTCAGATAGCACTCACGTTTTATGAATATTTCTCCTGAACCATCGATATGCCACCTGTTTTTGGGGGTGTTCCTGATTCATGCAGGACTTTTTCCCTGTGTACAATCTTCCAATCCCTTGTCAAATAATGTGGCTGCCTGGCTCAGACCCAACTAAAAGACTAGGGATTGCTGGCGATCTTATGTTAGTTACTTATCTACTTACATGTGTTGAAAAAAATGCCGATACCAGCCACGTCACATGCCGATACCAAAGGGATCCAATGGGTTTCTTTGGTTGAAACTACTCATTCTTATGGTAGGAACATAGTTGTTCCCGGATCACAGCCCATCGGATGTTGTTTCAAGAGGGGTATCATCAGGAGTTACTGTAAGCAGGATCATCCCATGTCAGTGAATGATAGCAATGATAAAGAGATCCCTTTATTGGGATAATAATTATGGGATAACTGATAATAGTGATATATATATATATAGACTTATATAGATATATATAATGATACTAATTGATACTAATGACAATATTGATAACGATAACTATGGTCAATTGGGATTGTCATTTTCTTCACCAGTTGAGATGTCAACAATAATTCCTAAGCAAGTGCTACTTGGGATCCAGTCATCCCCAGGTTTCAGCGCAGCTTCTGTCAGCGGAGAGTTCGTCCCGAAACGCCAAAAGGAGGTGCCCCTGGTGATTTCCCTGTGCCTCGTGGCATAGCTGCACCTCTCAGAGAGGGCCATATATCATATCTGGTTGGTGGTTTGGAACATGGCTTTGATTTCCCCATTTTCGTTTTGATGATGATCCAATCTGACGAAGTCCATCATTTTTCAGGGGGGTAGGGCTCAACCACCAATTAGATATATTGCCATGAATATTGAGTGGTTCACTTCACCAGACACCAGAAATCACTGCGGAAATCACAACGAGTTTTCGCAAGCCGCTCACGCCGCAACGAGACTTGAAGTTCTGGGAAGTTATGTTCGCAACGGGACTTTTGTCAAAGTCGGAGGATTTGATGTGTTCATTTTTCAGTTTAAACAACAGAAACAACGACCCAAAGTCACCAAAATTTCCTAAGTGACGGCCATTTTGGGGACATAAGACATGACACACAGCAGCTACTCAGTAGACTGATCAAACTTCAGTGTCCTGTGATATTTTTTCCACGAAACATCACGGTGGCCCTATGGTTTCCATGTCGGATTCTTGTCATCTTGGGGTGCTAGGCAACAAACATTGAGTTCGGAATGTGAGTTCAGGATAGATGTTGACATCTGATTTTCATCTGGCCATATCGGCTATTGTCAATAGCAAGTTGTAAAAGTTGTCACTTCTTGGGGTAGTATCACTAGCTTTGCTGATTCGTTTCATGCTTTTCCGTTGGTTCATCCACCATTTGGGGAAGGGCCTAGGCAAATCTAAGAGACATTTTTTTCAGATCTTGAAATCTGATGAAATCTGTTAGACTTCCAGTTGCCAGGTATGCAACCCCCAAATCCTTGCAGTAAACCTCAAAAGATACCATCACATGTGGTTAGTATGACTTTACCTTTCTATTATGTTTGTGATTACTATAGCAGTACATATAAAATCACTCAGGAACCATGATTACTGTCGATGAATCCAAAAAGTTGTGCACCAATTTTTTTCATATTTCTTCCACCGGAAAATCATACATACATATCTAACTGGTGGTTTGGAACATGTTTTTTTTTCCATATACTGGGAATAATAATCCCAACTGACTTTCATATTTTTCGGAGGGGTTGAATCACCGGCACCGTGGCGAACAGGAGAACGACCTCGTCTTCGATGACAAAGACTGACGAAGAGAAACGCCCGGAGAAAAATGTCGCATGGAGAGGGAGATGGGTTTGAACATGGTTTAAGCGCTAAAAATATGCTGAACACATTCCTGGAATCGTGGTAAATATGGATAAATATACGACTTTTACAAACATATCTTATTTATTTACTTATTTTACCAGGATATTGTAAGTAAATATTGGTAGATATGGTAATTTTACAAACATCTCTTATTGATTGCTACATACTGCTGACAGATCCGACAGATCAACCTTGAGCCAGAGATGAGGCGAAGTACATTTGAGTCCTTGTTGAACTGCTATTGTTGACCTGTTTATTGTCTAAAAAAGTAACACCAAGGATAGAAAAGGCATCACTATAGGAGGATGTTACTCTTCTATCTTTCGGGGTTGCTGTAATCAGAGTACGATGGAGCTGGATACGCTGACATGATGAAATCTTTGGCGTCCTGACAACTATACTGCAATTGAATAAAGGTGGATATAGCATGATACAGCCATGATTTTTCAACCGGGAGTTAAACCAGTTTTCAACCCCGCGAAAGGTGATGACCCATAAACATTGAGGGTGCAGAGCATGGCTAAGCATCAGTTGGTCATGTCCCCACGTTCATAGGGTTTTTCTATGTTTTTTTCTATGGTTTAATATCATGAATTAACAGTTTTCTATGGTTTTTCTATGGTTTTTCTATGGTTTTATATCATGTTGCATCCAATTTGTCGTAAATTTTGGCGAATTTTACCAATGCCACAGCTGTGGCACTCTGGCACAGAGCTCCCCTCTGGATTCCAATGGTAGAGCTCCCCAGCAGAGGCCACCATAAATGATTGTTATTTCAGAGGAAGCAAAGACCAGCCCTAGATCAGTAAGGTAGAGAAATGTCTAGAATATTTCATCATATTTCTGATTTTGGAAAAAAATAGTCCGACTGATTTGCATGAAATTGCCGAGGTTTTGCCGGTTGTACCATGGGTTACCATGGAATTTGCCTATAGATTTTGCTACTCTGATGGCGTAGCCTTGCAAAATGTGCCCCCCATGATTTGCGGTTGATACCATCTCGATGGTGGTGAAGAACATTGTTCACAACATGACCATGACATGTTGATATATCATCATATATCAGTTCATATCATCATATCATGTTGAAAGAGGGATACTTATAGATGATAAACATATATATCCCCATTCATATTGATACTGATATCATCATATACACTCTGGTAATTTAACTATAGCTTCATCTTCAATGGCCCATCAAAAAACATGTATTTTGCCATGAACATTGGCGATTTTTCATGGTTTTTTCGTACGTTTCGCCGAGTATCAGTCCCTGCAGCTGTTAAGCTCACTGGATCCCCAGTGGACGTCGGCCATGTCGGCCATGGCGCGGCGCGTGGTTTCGGCGACGCTGATGTTGACCACGTGGAGCACGTTGAGTGCGGCGGTGGACATGGACAAGACGGTGGGGAACAAGTTGCAGAAGGTGGGGCTGGGATGGGATGGGGCTGGTGATTTTTAGTGGAGAATATCTCCATGTTGAATGGGTAAAGATAGGTAAATTCATGTAAATCATCCGTGAATGGACCATTTTCCATAATTCGCTCGTAACTCTGGAAACTCACCATCTTTAGTAGGTAAATCCAGCTAAATCATCCATATGTCAACGGAGCGTTTTCCGCTATGTTAGATAACCAGATGGGAATCCTGAGTTAACTGGTGGTTTTGAGATTGTTGGAAACAAGCTGAAACCGTGGATGGTTGGGATATCCGATCAACCACCAAAAGGATGGGGAAGAAACCCAATAATGGGATGTTTACCACCTATCAACTGTTTGTTTCTCTGTTTTTTTGGCTTGAGAGTGTTGGATCCGATTGTTGCTGATGATTTTTCGGGATTTTGGCCGAAGACACTCTGGGCAAGTCTTGCTTTGACAGGTCAGTACTGCGGCGCATTTTCATCGGGGAAACGCATTGATTTTAGGGATCCCTAAATTCTGGACATTCTGGACACATCCAATGTATGAACCATCTGAATATATCTGGATATGAATAATTATAACTATCTGGATAACTATTGGGTAAGAATAATAATTATCTGGATAATTATTGGATAATTATTGGATAATTTTTGAGATGACCTCACAAATAAAGACGTCACTGGAATGATGGGAATTGGAATGAATAACGGATTCAGGGCATCATCCCCAAATGGCATGGCCTTACGATAACAGTGATAACAGCAGCTATTTTCAGGTGGGTAAATCATTGCAATTCAACCAGTACCATGCGGAATGTTTGTCATGATAGATGCATTTCTTCATGCGAAAATGGCCTTCGGGAGATTTCCAACAAAACCAGATCCTAAAAGATTTTGTAGATGTAGAGGATTCACACACGTGGAGCTCTACATATTGTTTACAGATCCAGATGTTTGATTATATCTTGGTGATATCCCCATGACAACAACCATGATTTTCCCCATGATTTTCCCCCTGATTTTCCCCATGGGCTTCTGATCTGGGCCTGGAAAAACACCTCCGTTCCGTTCCGATCTGGGCCAGTAGGCCAGTAGCCATTCCATGCTGGGTTGCTACCCCAAAATCCGATGGCTGATCAATGTTGATCATCATTTTAGCATTGGATTTGCCATACCCGTAGCGTATTCTTGCAATGTGGGGCCCCCTAGTTATATTTGTTGGTTTATGAAGTTTATTAACCCCCATTCACTACATGGTTATTATTAAAGTTGTGAGTATCATAATACTTCTCCATAGTTTACAGTACCATAGTTTACCATAGTTACCATAGCTGGTTGGTGGTTTGGAACGTTTGTTATTTTCTCATATATTTGGAATAATCATCCCAACTGACTTTCATATTTTTCAGAGGGGTAGGTATACCACCAATCAGATAGTTACCCTCTGGTTATTTAATATAGCCATGACAAATCACCATGCTATTAATAGGTAAACCATCTATTTCTATGGCTCATCTATACCATGGCTATGTAACACATAACCAGATGGTAACTATAGTTACTGATAATACCCTCTGGTAAATTAACATAGCTATGGGAAATCACCATTTTTAATGGGAAAATCCACTATAAATGGTCATTTTCAATAGCTATGTTAAATTACCAGAGGGTAACCATTATCAACCATTGTTTAATCATGATATACCCTATAAAACCCATAGATTTCCATAGATGTCCATCAGTTGCGCTATGCGAAAAAAACGTCAGGTGAAGACCATCACTGAGCAGATTAACAACGCTTCTGAGGAGGCGAGGCGAGTTCGTGGCGACATCCAACCGAAATCTGATATGGTACTGGTTGATATTGGGTTAGTATATATTGATGATGGTTAACATTAATATCTATAATACGCGTTAGTAGCTATGTATCTACAATATATATATATATAATCTATGATATGTAATATCATACGGGTTAGTATTGGTTAACAATGGTGAATGATGGTCAGCTCCATGTCGATGAACATGAGATTTCTTCGGTGATTTTCGACCGCCGCATTTGATTACCCGATGGTGTATGTATAATATCTTAGTATAATCTATTCAATAATATGTACATTATTTGTATGTATGATAGTGTACGTTGTATAATATCTTAGTATGTATAGTAGTGTATGTAGATGTAGAATACGTAGCTGGATTTGCTGATGATGATTTGTTTATTTTCAAAATGGGACAAAATGCTACTTGGATAATCGAGAATATTTTCTTGGTCCTTGAGCAAATCCAAGATATATACTATTGTATTGGAGCATATGGGAATATCATGGGAATGGGTCAAATGTGCATGTCTCAGCAGTGGATGGAACATATTGGACAAGGAAATTCACCCATGGGATATAACAGCAAATAAACCACTGCCACTGCTGAAAGCACATATTGGTTGATGATATGTTTCGGGAGTTACCCTCTGGTAAACGTTTACAGTTTGCTATTGAAAATCACCATTTTGATATGTAAAACTGTAAAACATCTATTTCTATGGTCCGTTTTCCAGTTCGCTATGTTAAATTACCAATGAATTTAGGGATATCATCCACGAGCTGGGAATCCCATTCACCAACTGATTTTTTATGGAATGTGGGAGGCTTCTCAAAATGCCATTAGTCAATTAACCTCTTAATTCTCGCAAAATCTTAAACCGTGTGAAATCCAATCCCAATTTATTTATCAATCTCCCGTTAAATCATCTGAAGTATCACATTGTTGCCCTCTGGTAAATTAACAGTTGGACCCTGATTTTATCACCAAATTTTTTTATGGTTTCACTAGTCTTCCAACCCCAATGACTGCCAGGGTCTATGTTAATTTACTGGAGGGTAAGTCTTTTAAGTATCAATTCTCCCAGTTCTCCCATCACTTTCCGACTCGGGAGGTGATGGTGCTCCAGGACCACAACTGGTGACCTGGCAACGTTCAGAACGGTCGATAGTGGGAGTGATCCAATGGCTTTTGGATATGATGAGTGGTATGATATGATGGTTTTATATGGTTTTATATTTATGTATATCAATTTATATCTCCACATGATCAATTTATGTGGTTTTGATATGGGATTTTGCTGGGAAACGATCTAAAACTGAGGATATGATGGTTTTGATATGAGGGGGATATGGTGAGTGAAAAAGCCTGGCAGCCGGATGGTACCCAAAGTCATTGCTGCTTAGTGGATGTGTATTCCCCCAAATGTTTCAGCTTAATGGATGTGTATTCCCCCAATAGCTGCTTAATGGATGTAATAATAGGTTTTTGACCCATCCCCATATGTGGTGGAAAATAGTGAAATTATATACTGTAATAAATGAGGATGTAATGGTTACAATGGTGTGACAAATGAGCGAAGAAATTCTTTATTACCACCTATTTTTTGTGTAAATTGTGGTATAATTTACGGTACATGATGTAAAGACTTATAGAGTGGGAAATGATGGATAAATGAGGATATCATAGTGACAATGGTTGAATTTCCATGACATGAGGGTTATACTGGGATAGTGGGAATCTGTCCACAAATGAGCATATAATGGCTATATATATATTATTGATATATGATAATGATATATGTATATGTAGCTAAAGAAGAAAGGGTGATCATGGGTATCTCATGGGGTTATAGCATTTAACCATCAACAATGGGGATATGATATGGAAGTAATGGGCATTAACCATTGTAATGAGGATATATACGACCAAGTTTGGTGGATGAACATCCACGTATGCCATTCTATACCAGCTATTTGATGTGAACAGAAAGGGTACTGTACCAGAGGTTTGACTGCCTAACTGGGATGGGTTTGAATTTCGGAGCTTAAAAGTTCCCAGGTTTTAAGTTTATTAAGATGTTCTGTTGAAATTTCAAGACGTCGCAAAAGACATTCTATAGGTGTTGGTGTGGAGACTTTCCCCACAAGATGTGTGCGTGAAACATTCCAAGCCAATGTTGGGTCCGTTTTGTATGAGCAAACTCTATACATTTGGGTCCCATCAAGTGTCCTAATTTTTTCATGGCAGATGCAGAATTTGATGGATGGAATCTCATGTTAGTGTGCAAAAGACCCCACATCTTTTTGCTAGGAAAACATCTTTTATTCATCCCATGTTTGCTAGGATATTCACGTTGAAATTGTTGAAATCGTCCATGTGTTGCTGGCAAAAGATCCCAATTATCCAATGAAATCTTCCATATGTTTCCCCAATGAAATCACCTGCCGATTGAGAATCGGAAATTCTTCGATAGGAGAAGTCAGATCTGCTATAGCAGCTATAGCATTTGGTGTTATATATGGTATCTATTAGTGGATAACCCAATTTAGTGGCTTAGAATTAAAGAGAAAGAACATCTTTTTTTGACAAAAACAACTGCAAGCCAAATCACAGACGCCGCCTCTGCAACCTCAACGCAGAAGTCCCACAGGGCAAAAGCAATTTCCTGCTTAACCTTACATAAGGTTCATTTCACTCACACCATGGATGGTATTGAATCAACCCTTACTTGTCGCATTTGTGGTGCCAAGCTCACTGGGCATTGTAATTGTAATAAAAGAGAAAGAGAGAAAAGAAAGAACATAGTGTAACATGATATGTCCCAAGAAAACCACGAATATACCATGATATTTCCATCAGATTTTTGTTCATTTTTTCACCCCCAAAAGTGTGGACGGATTGACGGATGGCTGCAAGGATCGCGGGCTCACCAGCGACTGTGAAGGCCACCAAGCAGCTGCAGGTGCGGTTTGGAATCTTCATATTTTGGAGGGAATTTCAGTACGTATGGTGATGCCCCTGTTTACTAAGTTGCCTTAGCTGCCTTAGCTAAGTTGACTCATAACTTGGTGAATTCTATGGCTTATGGATGTTTATGGGGGATATAGCTTTGGTAAATGGGGTTGTAGACCAACTTATGACTGGGTTGTCTCACCTTGTACATATCAGATTGGAAGATGTTTTTCATAAAGACGTTACTGTACATATCAGTACGTCTACCATGGTTATTATTAGCACGTATCATTAGTATTGCTATCGTTCAGAACTGGGTATGGGTCAATACCTATTAATACCATTTTTAGGGGAATGAACATCCATTTACCAGCTATTTTGATGTGAACTACAGGGGTACAAGGTTTTGACACACTGCCAACTAGATAATAACGTGTTTGAACGATAATTGTTGCTTTTAGTCATGATATTCGTAAACTATATTGACTTATTATTACGGTATCCCAGAGTTGGATCATGTATTCAAAACATACATGACATTTGAGGGTGAAAACATGTGAAAACACTGTTTCCTGTGTATATAAATAATATATATATATATACATATATATTATATGTATATGCATATTTCATTATATTGTCTTCATTATATTTCCCTTAAACCATTTCATGGAATCCCGTTAAAAGAAAAAACAAAAACTGCCAAATACCAGTCTGTAATGATTGTTATTTGATTTGGAAAAGGGAACATCATAGTTTTTACCAAGAAATCTCAAGGTCTTATCCCTACATATATCAATGATCATCTCCCCAAAAAGTCATTGTGTTCCCCAAAATAAAGACAGAAAAACATGTGATTTCCCCCAGAAATGTGAGGTTGACTCCTGGTAAACTAACAGTTTGCTCTGAAAAATCACAATTTTTAACTTCGGTAAACTATGTTCATAGCCAGTAAAACCGTAAATCAACATAAATCAACCCAGTCTTCCCATGGCTTTTCCACATCTTCCAACGTTTCCCCCTTGGGTTTCCCAGTTTTTAACGCCAGGATCTCCTGGACAAGGCGGAGAACACCAACACACAGCTGCAGATGGGCATGGCCACCATCAAGGGCAAGGCCTCGGATGACAATTGATGACACCATTTGGCCATCAAAAAGGGTGAAGAAAAAGTCATCCATAAATGGCATATATATATATACATATATATATATATATATATGGGTAAAATTATATATATGTATATATATATATATATGTGTATGGTCCAAACATTCTATTGAAAGGTCAATGACTGTAAATAGATGGGTAAATCATCCATAAATTGACCATGTTCCATAGTTATGTTAAATACGCAGAAGTTGAATCAGCATGGTTATCATCCATTTTCATGGGCCATTGTCCATAGCTATTAGATATAGAACTAGATATTACGAATAGTTGCAGTAACAATCAATCTGGTAGAAATACGAATCATTATTCATGAGATGATAGCCAATTTTATTTCAGTTATACTGTGATGTTTTCCTGAATTAGATTAGTAATGCAAACTGAATGGCTTCTCTACAAAAGTCATGATAACACTAAGGAATTAACATGATAATTGAATTAGTAAAATGTATACTTAAGAACAATAATACTATATAATACTAAACTAGATAGATTGGGTTCTATGTGTCAGGATGTTGAGAGGGACACCTTGATTAATAATTATCCCATTATTATATACTGATCTATTGGAAGCGTACCTATTTTTTCCGCATATGTTTCATGCTGTTTTCGAAAAAACACGTTGTTCGGTACTTGATGATTAGTCAATAATTGCTGACTCCAAGGGGATTGACATTTCGATCAAACAGAAATGTCCTGCGGAAACATTGGCAATTCTGGTTAATTGCTTACACTAGTTTCTATTTTCATGGCCTATTAAGGGCTTCTCACCCACTAGCAACCACCTCTATATTGGGCTACAATCTTGTTTCGGTGGCATCACCGACAGGATTTCAGTGTTCCTCTTTCATGGCTTTGAAATACACTAGGGTTCAACTAACACCCCGTGTTTCCCATTCAGAAACTTCTCTACTAGATGGGAAACTAGGATCTGGTAAACTAACATATGTTTGTCCGTGGTTAAAAGACATCCCTTCGGAAAATGATCGGCTCGAATTCGAAAAATCGCGCGGCATCGGCTTCAATTAGTAGTACTTTACCATTCAATTAGTATTACTAGTAATACTCAGAACTAATAACAATTACTATCAGTTCCTATCACCATTAATCATCATAAAATCACCACTATCACTACTCAACATTTTTCAACCACTAACCATGATTAAGCCATGAAATATCCATTAAAGATCCACTATCAACCCATGTTTTAACCATTAGTTTACCATTATTAATCCATTATTTAATCACTACAGTTAGTCATTAATCATTACTATAATCCCATTACTATCTTTATTATTACCATTATAACCCCATTACTATACCATATATCCTACATTAGTCACCATTGATCATCATTAATTCATTAATTATGAATCACCAGTCATTTTGGGTGAACTATCCTATATATTCACAATACACATAATTAGTAGGATATATAGGATAATTATCTAGTATATCCCTATTGTTAATCATTGATCCCATTGTCACCCCTATTTAACCACTATTGATTACCATTGATTAACCACTATTAACCATGGGTTTAAACATTGATGATCACCTATCAACAATTAACCACCAAAACAGGATATATAGGATATCAATTAATAGGATATGATCACTAACAACAAACCAGCAATTAATAGGATATAACCTACCTATCTATTTATATCTAAGTCTATATCCTATATATATATAATTATAGTTGATAGATGGTGATACATATATGTATCATCTATATATATATATCCTATATATATGTATCATATATGCCATATGTTGCCATCACTACCTATATATCTATACTGTACATATCATCACTACCGAAACACCTGCGCCATCGAGGCCACCGAGGCCCAGATGCGCCTGGACCAGTCCAAGGCCACGTCCGCCGCGGCCTGCTCCGCGGCGAAGCAGTGCGACGTCACGGCCTCCAAGGCCACAAAAGCGCCGAAGCGAAGCGGTGTGGGAACGACCAAATCCCTATGGAAATCCTATGAAAAATGAGGACAATCCTATGAAAATCCTGAAAATCTCATGAAAATCCTAGAAAATCAATGAAATCCCTATGAAAATCTTATGGAACATTGCAAAAATCTAAATGAACATCGGATTTTGTTGGGGTAGATACCTGCAAAAATAGGGATCATGGGATGATGGGCATCCACTGTCTTCAAACATGGCTGGAATATCCGCTATACATTGAGTTTTAAATAGGATAATTATCTAAAAGATGAAAATCGAGGTTTTCCATTGCAATGTTTGGTGACCGGATGGTTGAGGATTTAATATCAAACCATATCAAACCATATCAAACCATATCAAACCATATCAAACCAGTGTGAGTCAGTGAGTTTGGTTTTCGACCCCACTACCATTTGAAGCCGGTGTCTGGACCCGGAAACACCCCTATTTAACAGTGTCAGAAGCGGCTGCAATTTGTTGCAAGATGTTGCAACCATTTATCCCATGTATCCATACGCCATATGTATCCTATTGATTATCCCCTACAATTCCCATGTGTTTGAATTCAACCATTTTACATGGTTGTTCCACTAAATTATAGGGAAATGATAGCCACACGCTGGGCGATGTTCACAATGTTGAATCTTTATTCACCGAATCTTTCACCCAAAAGGTATAATTTGGGGTCTTGGAGCCGGTAATTTAGGGGGTATAGTCTTCCATTTTCTGACTGACACACTAATAAATATCAGATTAGATGGTTGGCTATATGTCTTGAATATATCCCCTTTGTATCCCATTACAGGATGCAGTCTGGGAACATCTTAAATCTTTGGTCGACACTTGAAGTAAACGGAAACTAAAAATGTCAATCCTAGTTTTGGGTTGATCATGGACCCAGTATGATATCCCTATAAAGATCCCTTGTACTATATGTTTGGACATTGTTGATTATATACCCCATATTTCATCCCATTATATTCCCGTGTATCCCATGATTCACAATCATTTATTCTTAGACCATATTAATCATATTGTTCTTTTGTTGGTTACATCCCGTTCCATTAGAATCACACTAGAACCATGTCTTTGCTGGTTAACATCCCGATTTCTAGCCCTTGATTGCTATAAATCCCATTAACTCCCTCTAAATCCCATTATAATCCCATTAAAATCTCTTTAAATCTCATTAAGTGCCATTAAATCCGATTACAACCTTAATTAAATCCCATTAAACACTAATTAAATATAAAGAAATCCCATTAAATCTCAATGAAATCCCATGAAGTCCTCTATAAAATCCCAGCGAAGCGGTCCATCCGAACGGCCGGCGTTTTCTTCGACACCAGGCCGCTGGACTCCGCATCGATGAACTGAAGGCGGAGAGAGAATGCGAGAATGCTGTGCTGCTTGATGTAGATTATAAATTATATATATGGTATTATATATCTGGATATATAGATATATTATTATATATTATTATTATTATTGTTATTATTATTGTTATTATTATTGTTATTATTATTATTATTATTATATATTATCATTATATATTACATATACCCTCTGGTTATGACTAACATAGCCATGGAAAATCCCAACCATACATGAAGGTTTTAATGGGAAAATCATCTATTTCTATGGGCCATGGCTTCCATGGCTATGTTAAATAACCAGAGGGTATGGTATTATATATCTGGTTGGTGGTTTGGAACCATGGAATTTGGATTGACTTTCCAGAAACAGTTGGGAATGTCATCATCCCAACTGACGAACTCATATTTTTCAAAGGGGTAGGTATACCACCATCCAGAATATGATTATATATGGAAATTCATAGATGAAATTAGATTATCTGGTTGGTGGTTTCAATCATTTTTTAATTTTCCATTGACGAACTCATATTTTTCAAGATGGTTAAAACTACCAACCAGATTGAGATCAGATGGTTGATCATGTTTTTTTTTGTGGTCGATGATGGTGAATGATGGTTTTCAAATTTCAGTGGTGAATCATGGTGAATGTTGAGAACGGATGGGCCATTGATTCAAGGGTTTCCATTAACAAAATGGGGGTACCCCAGTCAGTCGTCACCCAGTCGTTGTTATGCCATACTAAGTCATCCGTATTTCAGGAAACCACCAATAAAAATGGGAATTCATGGATTTTTTGTTGAGATCAGGTATGAATAAAGATTATGGTTAGATTACGGTTAAGCTATCTCGATTATATTGACCGTTAATGGATATTAATATTATGGGATGTTAGAGCTGGTTACTATGAACATTGGCTGTGGGAATGACTAACCAATATTTCTACAGTAAGCAACTTGACTAACCAATGCCCCACTTTGGTTGGGGGATTATTATGAGCCATAGTAAGAACATGAACTAACCAACAACCACCATAATTGGATATTTTTCATGATTGTTCGCAGTGAAGCAAAAACCATCGGTTGGTTATGGAGAAAGCATTCATGAAATCCCAAAAACCATGGGTTACCACAACCTTAATCTCATTAAAGCCCCAATAAAAATCCCATTCGTGAAATCCCATATCCGCATATTTCAGAAGCGGATTTCATCAGTTTACACCCGACGTGGAAACCGTCGGACCGAGTCATGAAACATTGAGTAAGAGAAAAAATGCTCAAGTCACCTGGCAAAAAATAAAACAAAATCGCCCTAAGATAAGGTAGCAAGGGTTCATATTGATGATATATACACCTATATGTATTTATACATAATATATATAATTATATATATATATATATATATACAGTAATTAATTATATTATATATACAGATATAAGATATATAGATCATCCCATCTCCTCAACATTAAACAGCCCCATTGTATGGTTCCAAAAGGGTGGTTTCAGTCCGGCCCTACTAAACCGTCAAAGCAAACCACCGATTTGTCCGGCCTGGAGGTTACCCTCCAATGATCCTCATCAAGTTCATTAGGTTCTAAGAAAAAAAACTGGTCTAAAGATCCATGTGTTTTTTCATATGTAAATATGCATCAAAAACGTTTTTGAGTTTTTTGGATGTTCAGTATTTTCACATAGGATGAAACTTTAACCTGATATAATTTACTGAAGCAAACCAGAGACCAAGGGCCCAGGGCCCCGCCATTACGGCGGCAGGAAAGTCTTCAGGACTACGAAATGATGAACGACTGGAAGATGTCGAGTGTCTACAACGGGCACCTTGTCTACAACGGGCACCTTGATGTTACTGGCGCCACACTCTGGCTGGGTATGAGCCAACAATAGTTTGGCTATGACGGCTATGACCACAAAGAATTGACATGTATCCTTTGGTGATCCCATCTGGCACTGGGGAAACATTGTTTTCGGCAGATCTTCTATCAACGGACGTTTTTTTTGGTTACCATGTTTGATTTACACTTGATGAATCTCCATATCGTAACGACCTAATCAGCCAACCTCCAACAATCTTATGGCCTGTTGGTGAATCCCTAGTCCCCAAGCACTGAGTCCATGGCGACTGGCAGCTGACAGGTTGGAAACCCATAGGCCCATCAAAACACCATAACTTTTGTCACCAGTCGTTTGTGTTTTTTTTTTTTTTCGAATCTATGAGTTTGTCTCAAAGGGATCTGACAAACGTCCACAACATTTTTTTGTCGGAAACACAATGCTTTTTTGCAGAGGGTTTTGGGGTGCCCAACTTTTGGACCATCAAGATTTGGTTCTTCCACATGCAGCAACGATGTTGGCCCTTTTTATTCGGATGTATTCGGTATACTGTGAGTAAAGCAATAATATGCAATCATAATCCACCCATATTTTGATGGTTTATGAGATAGTTTATGCAGTTTATGCAACTCATTTATGGTAAAATTGGAGGTGGTGAGCACTGTTGCTGATATACATTATGGATCATTATGGATCATTATGTATTAATGGTATACAGTATGTAGCCATTATGGATCATTGGGGGATCACTATTATTGAACAAAACATATGTAGCCACTGATTCTGGATCTCCAGAGGCGACCGTTGACGCAAAACATGGAGAGAGTTAGGCGCAGAAAGGCATTTCCAAGCGCAGTTTCTCCAGCCATCTCCAGCAGTTGGTTGATATGATATGATAATGATATGATAATAGGAGTTAATGAATGTTAATGAAGCAGTTCAGATTGGCTTCCTATATTAATCTTGCCAGTTTATGATAATGATATGATAATGATATGATAATGATATGATAATGATATGATAATGATATGATAATGATATGATAATGATATGATAATGATATGATAATGATATGATAATGATGATAATGATATGATAATGCTATGATAATGATAATGATGATAATGATATGATAATGATATGATAATGATATGATAATGATATGATAATGATATGATAATGATATGATAATGATATGATAATGATATGATGATAATGATATGATAATGATATGATAATGATATGATAATGATATGATAATGATATGATAATGATATGATAATGATATGATAATGATATGATAATGATATGATAATGATATGATAATGATATGATAATGATATGATAATGATATGATAATGATATGATAATGATATGATAATGATGATAATGATATGATAATGATATGATAATGATATGATAATGATATGATAATGATATGATAATGATATGATAATGATATGATAATGATATGATAATGATATGATAATGCTATGATAATGCTATGATAATGCTATGATAATGCTATGATAATGCTATGATAATGATATGATAATGCTATGATAATGATATGATAATGATATGATATGATAATGATATGATAATGATATGATAATGATATGATAATGATATGATAATGATATGATAATGCTATGATAATGATGATAATGCTATGAAATGCTATGATAATGCTATGATAATGCTATGATAATGATATGATAATGATATGATAATGATATGATAATGATATGATAATGATATGATAATGATATGATAATGATATGATAATGATATGATAATGATATGATAATGATATGATAATGATATGATAATGATATGATAATGCTATGATAATGATATGATAATGCTATGATAATGATATGATAATGATATGATAATGATATGATAATGATATGATAATGATATGATAATGATATGATAATGATATGATAATGATATGATAATGATATGATAATGATATGATAATGATATGATAATGCTATGATAATGCTATGATAATGATATGACATGATAATGACATGATAATGACATGAATGATGATGACATGATAATGACATGATAATGACATGATAATGATATGATAATGATATGATAATGATATGATAATGATATGATAATGATATGATAATGATATGATAATGATATGATAATGCTATGATAATGATATGATAATGATATGATAATGATATGATATATGATATGATAATGATATGATAATGATATGATAATGACATGATAATGATATGATAATGATATGATAATGATATGATAATGATATGATAATGATATGATAATGATATGATAATGATATGATAATGATATGATAATGATATGATAATGATATGATAATGATATGATAATGATATGATAATGCATGATAATGATATGATAATGATATGATAATGCTATGATAATGCTATGATAATGCTATGATAATGACATGATAATGATATGATAATGATATGATAATGACATGATAATGACATGATAATGACATGATAATGATATGATAATGATATGATAATGATATGATAATGATATGATAATGATATGATAATGATATGATAATGATATGATAATGATATGACAATGATATGACAATGATATGACAATGACATGATAATGACATGATAATGACATGATAATGATATGATAATGACATGATAATGATATGATAATGATATGATAATGATATGATAATGATATGATAATGATATGATAATGATATGATAATGATATGATAATGATATGATAATGCTATGATAATGCTATGATAATGATATGATAATGCTATGATAATGATATGATAATGCTATGATAATGCTATGATAATGATATGATAATGCTATGATAATGATATGATAATGATATGATAATGATATGATAATGATATGATAATGATATGATAATGATATGATAATGATATGATAATGATATGATAATGATATGATAATGGTATGATAATGATATGATAATGCTATGATAATGCTATGATAATGATATGATAATGATATTGATAATGATATGATAATGCTATGATAATGCTATGATAATGATATGATAATGCTATGATAATGCTATGATGATGATATGATAATGATATGATAATGATATGATAATGATATGATAATGATATGATAATGATATGATAATGATATGATAATGCTATGATAATGCTATGATAATGCTATGATCATGATATGATCATGATAATGATATGATAATGATATGATAATGATATGATAATGATATGATAATGATATGATAATGATATGATAATGATATGATAATGATATGATAATGCTATGATAATGATATGATAATGCTATGATAATGCTATGATAATGCTATGATAATGATATGATAATGATATGATAATGATATGATAATGATATGATAATGATATGATACTGATATGGTAATGATATGATAATGCTATGATAATGATATGATAATGATATGATAATGATATGATAATGCTATGATAATGATATGATAATGCTATGATAATGATATGATAATGATATGATAATGATATGATAATGATATGATAATGATATGATAATGATATGATAATGCTATGATAATGATATGATAATGCTATGATAATGATATGATAATGATATGATAATGATATGATAATGATATGATAATGCTATGATAATGATATGATAATGCTATGATAATGATATGATAATGCTATGATAATGCTATGATAATGCTATGATAATGATATTGATAATGATATGATAATGATATGATAATGATATGATAATGATATGATAATGCTATGATAATGATATGATCATGATAATGATATGATAATGATATGATAATGATATGATAATGATATGATAATGATATGATAATGATATGATAATGATATGATAATGCTATGATAATGATATGATCATGATATGATCATGATAATGATATGATAATGATATGATAATGATATGATAATGATATGATAATGATATGATAATGATATGATAATGCTATGATAATGCTATGATAATGATATGATAATGATATGATAATGCTATGATAATGCTATGATAATGCTATTGATAATGATATGATAATGATATGATAATGATATGATAATGATATGATACTGATATGATAATGATATGATAATGCTATGATAATGATATGATAATGATATGATAATGATATGATAATGCTATGATAATGATATGATAATGCTATGATAATGATTTGATAATGATATGATAATGATATGATAATGATATGATAATGATATGATAATGATATGATAATGATATGATAATGATATGATAATGATATGATAATGATATGATAATGCTATGAAAATGATATGATAATGATATGAAAATGCTATGAAAATGCTATGATAATGATATGATAATGCTATGAAAATGCTATGAAAATGCTATGATAATGATATGATAATGATATGATAATGATATGATAATGATATGATAATGATATGATCATGATATGATAATGATATGATAATGATATGATAATGATATGATAATGATATGATAATGATATGATCATGATATGATAATGATATGATAATGATATGATAATTCTATGATAATGATATGATAATGATATGATAATGATATGATAACGATATGATAATGATAATATTAGTGAATGACTGTTAATGAAGCAGTTCAGATTGGCTTCCGAAAAAAACATGCCCTCCAGTTATGTTTGTCGCTGTATATGAGATGTTATGAGATGTTATGAGATGTTATGAGATGTTATGAGATGTTTTGAAATGATTTAAGGTTTATAAGATGTTATACGATGTTATAATATGTTATAAGATGTTTTAACATGTTTAAGGTTTATAAGATGTTATACGATGTTTTAAGATGTTATAAGATGTTATAAGTTACAAATATCATAAACCATAGTTATTGGAGTTACAAACGCACCGACTTCGCTATCCGGATGTCTGGTGCGCCCAGGGGACTCGACATGGCCCAGAGCATCAAGGAGCGCCATAGAAGCTGGGCTTAACCGGCCCAAAGCCATACACTTCAGTGAGGCCCCCCAGTTATAAGTGGGTTTTGAACCCCCATATAATTATATAAATATGTAATTATATACACATATAATTATATAATACACATATATATATATATACTGGTTGGTGGTTTGGAACATGAACCTTATTTGTCCATCTATTGGGAATATCATCATCCCAACAGACTTCGTCATCTTTTTCAGAGAGGTAGGGCGAAAAACCACCAAGCATTCAATTAATTCATGGTGGAGCCCTGGGATCCAATGATATGGGAGAAGTATGGAATATGAATGGGATGTATATTATATATTATATTCCATATATATCCCATTATATATGAATGGAATATATCATACATATATATATATGGAATATATATATATATATTATATAAGTTGAAATATATCGACCCCTGAGCCCCACTATGTATAGCATAGGTAGTAGGTCTAGTATAGGCATGCCATAGCTATGATTCCATCACATCCGAAGTAGTTACTCCGAATACCTTGTGTACAGTAGTAGCACCTCATATCTAGAAGCGTTAGATATGTAGATAGCCTAGAGTTTATCTCAGGGTCGTAGTTAACCTTCCCAACAACAACCGGGTAGGTCCTTTAACTCCCGCTGTTTGACGCTCATGGCTCAAGTGCGCAAAAGCTGCGTGCTTGGTTTCATGTTTTGTTGCAGGGTTTGCCGGATTAGTTTCCCCCTTTTCTTTTGGGTGGCTGGTTCGACCCCCTGTTTAACTGGTTATCAGCCGTATCGGCTTTAGTTGGGGAACCTAATCCGTCAAACTTTGCTTAGGCCCTAACTTACTCGCACTTTTTCGCTGACATCTTTGCATGCCCTCAGGAGGGTCGGACAAGGTCGCTGCTGATTACAGCGCGACTTCAGAAACGCCAGTGCACGGAGACGAGGCGAGTGGTGAAGCAGGAAGCGTAGAGCAAACAGCTCCGTCTACTGCTGACCCACCAGCCGAAGGCTCCCGGAACTGGGCCGATCTTTCTGAGGTATTGGAGTCGACCGCGCTTTCTGGTGAAGCGGCATCTTCTGAGCTGGTACAGGTGAAGGAGGAGCCATTGGAGCTTCAAGAGGCGCAGTCCCTAGGTGCAGTTCTTTCAACGATTGGCTTGCCAGAGGAGGTCGCTGACGATCCCGTCGCGACAGAAGAAACTGGGGTTGACACTTCACTTCAAGATCAGTCATTTTTGGAACCACCTTCTGATTTGGGTAACCCAGCAGAAGCTGCTTTCACGGACATTGATCGAGCAAAAGAAGAAGAAGTAGATCCTCAGCAAGAATCTTCAACTCTTCTGGAACAGGCCGAGTGCGAAGTTGATACAACAGTTTTTGCGGATCCAATTGATTCTGCCGACATTGATTTCACAGGTGACGACACAACCGTAGTTGCTGAGGTTCCTGAGGCAGAGACCGAAGGTCTAACTGCCGACGCCGTTGCATCCGAGGCAGCCGTTGCATCCGACCCTGTGGTCGCTGACACAGCCGGTGTCGCGACAGAAGCCAACACTAGTTGCCCTGATCAAATAGTCCCACCACCAACTAGCCCTAATCTTGTAGACCCAGGTGCCGATCCTATCCAAGTAGGACATTCCCCTGCCAGTTCATCAACAGCCCATCGACCAAGGGTTCGATCCAGCAGGGGCGGTGCCCAAACCAGGTGGCAAGAAGCAAAGCGAGCTTGGTGGAACGACTTCGAGGCATACCAAAATTGGCTTTACCATAATTCCGGAGGGGACATCGTAGGTGGCTTTTGGTTAAGAAAGATTTCTTACGAACAAGCTGACGAAAGCATTCGCTGGTTGATAGCTCTTCATTCAAGACTTGTTGAGGAGTTCCCAACATCACAGTGCTTAGCTTTGGCCTACCAAATCCTCATCCCTTACAAAGAGTGGGCTCACATCCACGGGTTGGACAGGCGTAGAGGTACTGCCCACGCACAGCAAGTGATTGATTCCGGTGAATTACCTCCAAAAAGGGTCATTAACCAACGAATCTTAGGGGCAGAGCACCCACGCGCAGAAGAGTGGGATAGATATTATAGATACATAGGCCCACAGCAGCAACCCCGTCCAAAGGTGGTTAGGCCTGCTTCCGCAACACCCGTTGCTGGCGCGGCAAGTGGAAGCGCAGATCCAACTCCGGTCCAGCAAGGACCCAAAGAGCCTGGGCATCCACCGCCAAATTGGCAACCCTCATTGAGGGCACCAAACCATCCGGTCCAACCGCCGCGTCCAAGGGTTACTGTCTCTGTCCATCCAGTCCCAAAAGCCCCAAAGTCAGATTCTCAAGGGGTCGCTGCCTTTGGGCGCGACGTAGCACCAGTCCCAGTAGCTAACCCTGCTAAGCCACCAGCTAAAGCTAGGCCCAAAGCTCCTGATTCTAGTGCCACAACCCTTGCAGATAGAGTTCGAAGTTTGCCACCTCCACCTAATAACATCGCCCCTAGTCCGCCTCCTCATAAACAACCACCTTTACCACCATTACCACCTCCTAATACACCACCACCTGGTGATAATTTTCCACCCCCACCATCTCATCCGCCGCCAACTGCACAGGAGCTCGCTGCCCGCAGTTCCCGACCAGCAGAGGCGCGAGAAGAGACTGCTCCGGAGGATCCCAACGATCCACCGCCTGAGGAGCAGCAGTGGGTGGAGGAAGAGGAGGAAGAGGAGGAAGAGGAAGTTTTTGAGGAGGACGAAGTAGTCGAAGTTGAGGTTGAGGCCGAAGCAGAACCCGAATTCCCTGACTTCACAACAACAGAACACGGCCGTGAGGTTTCCACGCGCCGTCGTAGGCCTAAAAGAACTAGGTCCAATCCGCCATTGCCTGTCAATCTAGTCCCAAGGGAAACCCGTGAACGAATTGAACTTAATCAAGAGCTTTATAGAGCCCGTGCCATAACCGGTGTTTCTAGAAGACCTCTTGCTTTAAGACCCCAAGTGCACGGTTACCCCGAAATTAGAATTGACTCCGCTGGCACCTGGGCTAGGGTCGCTGATCCTCCGATCGCGTACGCGCCACAGACTTTGCCTTTTATCGTTCCTCACGCCGAGGCACCAGAGCTTGGGGTCAACCCGCACGAGCTTCCCGACTCGTTGTGGCGTGATCCTGCACTTAGATCCCATCGGACTGTTCTTGGTTCAAGTAATTTAGACCCCAATAGTGTCTATAACATTTCCACCAACAACCCCGAGACCGAATCTGAGGGCTCTGAAACCGCTGAGACTCGAACCGCCAGGTTTGTTTCATCAGGTCAGGCATTTGTCGGCCAGCAAGAACCGTTTGACGCTGGCTTCGCTGAGCGCACCCCTGCCCGTCCAATTGAGTCTCCCCCAAAGAGACAACGTCCTAACATAAGAACCTCTCAAATCCAACGTGATAAGCCGGCACAGCCCAGAAAAGATCCAGTTTCTGCTGCACCAACACCACCTGCAGCCCCTACAGTACCATCTTTGACTGTTCCCCCATTAAGCAGTTCTAGTAGTTCAGCTTATCCTCCCTGGAGGCAGTCCTCGCAAAGTGCTGGAAGTGGGGTCGCTGACACAGCCCGTGTCGCGACAGAGACTGCATCAGAGCCAGCCGGCTCTCCTGTTGCGCGATCCAGGTCAAGAGCACCCTCAGCCGAGACTGCGCCCGCAGTTGCTGCCAGAACAAATAGGGGAAGGGAAGTACCAATTTCAAATAAGATTTCATCTAAGTCTCGCAAAAGAGCTAGTTCCGTTCCAGTGCCAATTCGTGCAAAGGGGGCTGCTGTCCCCGACACGCCTCAAAGGCCAGAACCCTTACCACCAGCTCCAGAGCCTAAGAAGAATCTTCCGTGGAAGCATCCACCTGTTGGATCCGCCGCGCCTGCAGCACCCGCTGCACCTGTGGTAATTCCCCCAAGACCTAATAGGCCAGTTCCCCCTAATCCAGCTAATCTTAAGCCTGTAAAACCTCCTCCGCCAGGAATCGAGAGGGCAAGACCTGCTGGCCAACCGTCCCGAGATCTTCCTCCACTTGATCCCGAAGGACAACAGCAACAGCAAGAGGCACCAAGCTCAGGATCTGGCCTTGCACCCCACGTCCGTGGGCGGCCTTTGCCTGAACCAACACCAGATCGGCCAGAGGGGGTCGCTGGCTCTGTGCCGCGACATTACCAACAGCAACCCAACTTAGTCTCTAAGGTAGTCCACGTTAATACATCCAACATAGTTGTTTGCATCGACTGGCACGATACCATTGACCAAGCTCTCAACCCCATTGGTGAATTGTCTTCCCATTTAGTTGATAAGCTTCGTACATTGACTAGGATTGCTGGTAATCAAATTGAGTTCCACATTGTCTCATACGCCGGCCAATCTAAGATTGACAGCACCAAAGCCGGTGCTGAGCACGTGATTAGCCAATTGGTCGCTGAAGGTTTGCCGTTTAGAGAATTGCACCTGGCCCGCTATCCTTGCGGAAGGCAGGGCAAATCATCTATCATCTCTGCACTCCAGGCTCATTGTCTCGTCGACGACCGTTCCGACATTATAAACGAGTGCAAGCAACTCGGCATTAAAACCATCCGATCAGAGGGGCGTCCCGACAAGGAACTCTGCTGGATTGCAGAGGTAGAGGACTGGATCCGGCACGAGGGCATCAGCTATATCCTGCACGCCCGCCGTCCAGTTCCTCTTAGGACCAATCAATTTTACCCCAACTTTGGGGGCCAGGACGATCGAACACTTTGGTAGACCCTGGCACAAGTCCAGCGGTTCTACAACATCCGATAGGTGCATCCGAAAAGCCGAGGTAGCTGAGCTTGCTCGCTACACTCCGTCGGTCTGTCCCTGTCGTTTGCTGAGTGTCCTTTGTCCCATAGCATTTGCCTTTTGCCTGTAGTTCAGTGTTGTTTCTGTGGTCAGAGCTAGGGTCATTACCGCTAGCGAAGCCATAGTTCATCCGAACTTCAACACAACTTGAATTAATTTCAATTGCACTTTATTATCTTAATATCCAACTTGCGAAGACATTGTTGGTTGAGGTAGTATTGTGCTGCATTGGTCTTTTGTCCCATCGCTGCAAACTTTTGCTTGGAACGCTGAGCAAAGCTCGCGTTGGATCAGACATCGTTGCAGTTGAGCGCAAAAGTTCAGCCGAGTTTGGGTCAAGATGTCAGGCATTTCTCCCCCTTCTGATCCTAGTTCATCTAACAGTAGGTCAAGGAGTAGTCCTGAAACTTCTAATCCGAATGCAACAAGGGTCCCGGCGGTTGTTACCTCCCTGGTTCCACGAAGAATCCAGTTGCCTTCTTCTAGGGATGCCATTCGTGTTGATGATTCGTCTGATACTAGTCTGGAAGCATCTCAACATAATAGATTTAGGCAAAGGGGTCCCCATGGTCCAAACCCAAGCAATAGTCCTGATGAAGATAATCCCGTAGACCTTAGTGCAACCCAAGCCACTTTCCTTGCGGGTGCTGCTGTAACCCAAGCGCACCATGCCGCCACTATCGCAGACCATGCTAGTAATGTTGCTATCCAATCCCAATTAGAAGCCTTCCAAGCTAGACAAGTCATCGCACAGCAGCAATCCGACTTTGGTCAGGTCGCTGCAGCGCGACGCAGCGACAAGGGCCATCTTGCACAACCAAGAGGAAGCCTACGCCGCTTTGGCTGAGAGGGACAGGGATTCGGAGTTGTTTGAGCATAACCTCACTCAACAGGCCCAACAATTAGTTTTGGGGGCTAGGCAACAGGCTCAGCAGGAAGTCAGTGTTGGAATCATAACCTGTAGCATTGAGAGCCCCCAGAAATTATGGCAGGACACCTTGGGAAAAGGCAGCAACGCCACTGGCAACGTTGCCAACTACGCAGCAGAAGCTCCGCTCAACCTAGATGTCAAGGGTGGCAAGGGCGAAAAGGAGAAAGGCGGCGGAAAGGGAAGGGCCAAGGGAAAGGGCAAGAAGGGCAAAGGAGCCAACGATGCTCACCAGTGGAATTTCAAGGGTGGCAAAAATGCCAAAGGAAAGGGCGGCAAGAAGGGCCTCGAGCAGAACATCTACATGTGATGTGAGAGGCAAGCCTGAAACATCTGCCAACGTCATGTGACATGTGCATAGTTTCACCCCTCCTGTAGCTCAGGGTTTCATGAATTGATGTACATGGTATCTATTGGTTGAACACACATACATAAACACATACACACACATATATATATATTATATATATATATAAAGGGACGTTATTGTAAAACATATTGACACGCAGCATTGGAATTTACTTTTGGCCCCTGCATGAAACCCTGAGGAAATTACAGATAGATTTCGGTCGCCCCCTCCATCCATCACAGAAAGCATACATGGAACTTACTACAGTATGTTTTTGTTCTGACAATCCTTCTCCAATTTTATGAGTTATTTGTGCCATGTGTTTGGACTCGGCTAGGATTCCCGTGTGGCACCATGTGGCACCACAGCTAACTCGGTCGAGCTGACCGAATGTCGCGGATGGGGATGCCCAACATTGCCCAACCGTGGGATCCGACCAAGTTCCAGAGTTGTAGCAATTTGTAGCCTGAAAAAGGTCGCTCCATTGGATGGGTACTCGTACAATATGATACAATCATGTAATATCATGTACAATCAACATACTGGGTGTATCTGGGTGTTGCTCAGATACTTTTGCACCACAAACTGTTGTGGGATGTAGTGGGTGACTTGAGCCATTGCAACCGGTACCCAACACGCCAAGCCGGCCCGAAGCCTCGTATTTGGATCGGATTGCCGGGGGGAATTTTGGTGCATGTGGTGAATCCGATTGGTCAATGGAGATTGGAAGCCATTCTGATCCATTCTGATTGGTGAATTTTGGTAGGGTTCATAGATCTTCTGGCATCCTGTAAGGATCTGCAAGGATCACAGAAAATTGGTGAAAGGGGAGGTTTTCTTACAGGTCATCGATGGAACTTGGGCTACGCAAATCATGACCCGAAGGCCATTCGTATGGCCCATTTATAGATGTTTTTTGATGATTTACCTATTAAAAATGGTGATTCTCTATAGCTACGTTAGATAACCAGAGGGTACATCACAATACAATAGAGCAGATCGCATCATATCCATCCGCCTGTGGCCATTTTCACCTTTAGCCACTGGGAAAATTCCGGGTCCCGCTTCGTGGAAGACAGCGTTACACCAGGCCCGCACCTGGTGTCACAAGGGCAGCAGCTGGTTTCCAAGAAAGCAACCATCAAAAAGTGTGACTTAATATGACTTAACTGTATTATATTATCAACAAAAATGGGGATATTTATATATATATATATATATCATGGGGATACAACTGGATGTCTCATGGGATATTCATGGAATATGAGTGAGGATATAATAGGATAGGAATCACGATAGTGTGGTCCTACTAAATTGGGCAATGGCCTTTTTGTTGGTAGACCCCGCAATCGCCCCATTATATTCGCTGGTTTATATAGGAGCGCCCATAATCCCTTCCTCCTAATACTAAACCCCCCCCTAATAATAAACACGGCAGGTAGTTTTTAGTATTAGGGAGGTATTTAGTATTAGGGAAGCCTAATACTAAATTAAAACCCTTAATAATAAAAACTATTTTTTCCGATTTCAAAATCAAGTAAATTTCTTTATACAACGCAGTTAAAATATTGCCAAAAATTGGATTTCAAAGCTTCCCCCTAATACTAAATTAACACCCTTAATAATAAAAACTATTTTTTCCGATATCAAAATCAAGTAAATTTCTTTATATAACGCAATTAAAATATTTCCAAAAATTGGATTTCAAAGCTTCCCCCTAATACTAAATTAAATCCCTTAATAATAAAAACTATTTTTTCCGATCTCAAAATCAAGTAAATTTCTTTATATAACGCAATTAAAATATTGCCAAAAATTGGATTTCGAAGCTTCCCCCTAATACTAAATTAAAACCCTTAATAATAGAAACTATTTTTTCCGATCTCAAAATCAAGTAAATTTCTTTATATAACGCAATTAAAATATTGCCAAAAATTGGATTTCGAAGCTTCCCCCTAAAACTAAATTAAAACCCTTAATAATAAAAACTATTTCTAATTTCCTTATATAACGCAATTAAAATATTGCCAAAAATTGGATTTCAAAGCTTCCCCCTAATACTAAATTAAAACCCTTAATAATAAAAACTATTTCTAATTTCCTTATATAACGCAATTAAAATATTGCCAAAAATTGGATTTCGAAGCTTCCCCCTAATAATAAACACCCCGGGGTTGACTAGTTTTTAGTATTGGGGGGGAAAACCCACAAATGGTAGGTTGATTTTTAAATTGTTGTCTAAAGGGGATCAATTAAAAGTCAAATTGGCCAATCTGAAATTTTCAGAAACTGGAGATGGACACTAGTTTTTAGTATTTGGGGGGGTTTAGTAATAGGAAGGGATAAATGAGAATCCCCAATGAATTGGGTAGTATAACCCCCAGCCAAGAATGATCTACTCTACCAATTGGTATTGTGGCACCGTTCTATGCAGAAATCATGTTGCGACCGGGTCATCTGTGATCAATCGTTTGGTTTTCAACTGTGTGGGGAGAGTACCCTTGGACTCTCATGATGTTCTGATTGAAACTGACGTATCTTAAATGCACAATCACTGGACAATCACTTTTCATAGACACCTCGAACGATTTCACAGCTCCTGTTTTTATATCCAGGAGAATCATACTACGGCCTTGAAATTCCCACGGATCAAACAACATGATCTCGCAACATCCACGTTGGATGATGAGATCAGTGGGTTTGTCAACTCAAACCCATTCCCCCTCAGGGCCTTTTCCAAGCAATACAGCTGGCGTTCGCAGTAGAGGGCCCCGTCCTTTTCCCACTTGTTGATTTGTTGGATTCTTGTCGGGCAACCTCCTTCCACTAACAATACTCCGGTTTTCACGACAACTATACGTAAGACTGGCGGCAACATCCACATCACAACATCAAAAACACAGCCCTGTTCCCATCAAACCCATGAGGATATTACCAAGAGATCTTGTGTAGATTCTAGATCTATACAATGATAGCAATATTGGTTTGTCTGAAAATAGTGGTTCAGAACATAATGTTCCCTGTTTTTCAAAGGCTATTTAATGGGGCTATTACCCATTTTCAGACGCATCCATCTCACTGGTATCAGCATTTTTTTAAACTCATCAACAGATATCTTTAGAAAAAATAAACCTATATCATCAATATATATATATACATATGTATATATATATATATACATGTATACATCATGATCAACTGATGGATATTGAGTGTGGGACCCCAACTCGGAAAAGCTCATCACCTGCCGCCGACAGTCGATGATGACGAAGCGAAATGCCGATCTCTACCAGGCGGTGCTGTTTCCAAGTTACGTGTGGCCAGCAATGGAGCGGTTACTCATGGTCTCTCAGCTTGATCATTAATAATCATTAATACTGTAGTGGTTATTAGTGGTTATTGATGCTCAATAATTTAGTTCTGAATGATGATACATAGTGAATTGTGGTGGTGTTTAACCATGATTCATTAAACACATCGATGAAACACATATTAACCATCATTGGACTTTCACCATTAATCATGAATGGTTATTTCAACAATCCATTAAACAATAACACTCTGAACCATGAATTGCTGATGATTTTTGATGCCAGGCTAAAAGGCGTGTGGACCCCGTGGATGAGCCAGGCAACATCCGATTGGACAGTCAAGCAGGTACTGCGTTGGAAACGTTAAAGCTCCTAAGTGCTTGGGTGGATGCTTGGATTGATATTAACGGATGTATATATCAAACATAGTCAAGATTATAAGTGGGTGGATGGTTGGGTTATGCTATATCCTAAGTATATATATATATAAGTATAGTTACTTGATATGCAGTATCTTGATATGACACTGTATATTTGCTTGATTGTTAGTTGATGTTATATCATTCATGTTGTTTTTATAATGGGTTTTGATTTCACGTGAGTCATATTGGTGTTAATTATGATGTCGATTGTGGTGACTTGATGTTAGTTGAGGTTCTTGTTTCGATGCTGATTTGGACAGGTTGTGTGTGTGGAACATCTGAAGAGATGTAAAACTTCTACTGCGATACTTCCTTCTTGTTCAGGTTTTGCCGTTTCATTTCATTTCTTTACTATTTTTGACACACATTGTCCAATTTTAATCTTTACGGCAGTGGGGGACAGAAGGCCCATAGAGCTGTGGCCAACGAAGCTCTCTATGGTGCCCTTAGGATATCCAGGCTGATCACCTGGACGTACCTGCACTCATTTCGAAACAGTTCCGCTGTTACTTTTCCAACCTTCGTGAGTGGCGACCGGCATCCCAGAACCGGCATTTTGATTCGAATTTCATTTTGGTTTCTGCACAGTTGTCGCAATCTGTCAACTTATTGCATCTAGCACAGGCCATGGGAATGATACCTTTTCGATAGTTCTCGGGTCTTTTCATCGACCCATTCCTGTCAGGTATAATTGGAGTGTTTTTGCACGTAAGATGCATTCCACATCAGAATTCGCAAAGAATGTTCTGAGCAAGTGTGTGGTTCATGCTGGATTCGTCAGGGTGGCATGAGCCCCTCGGGGAATGCTTGTCTAAGCGGGAGAGCGAAGCAACGACTTGATCTCTGAATTTACATTTTTCAACCTAGTATTTCGTTTAAGTCAAGTGAAGCAGCTGGCCTTATTTCGTTTTCACCTTGTCGAATGTCGATGTTTTGAACAACTGCCCGCTGTACCGGGGACTCACCGACTCACCGTTTCTGCCTGCGTCTCAAGCGTTGTTAGCCGTCAGCTGCGCCAACAACTTCCTCTTTTATTCAAGAGACTGACCGCTGCCATTTCCATGCCGTGACATTTGAGAAGACAGGCAAAGGACATGCTTTCCAGGTGTGGTCACTTCATTTTGTTTTTTTGGCCTGGTTCAATTGTGTATGTAATTTGAGGGTTGACCACTTAAGCCGTTTATAGGGTTGTGACTTGAAGAGGAGGCCATTGAGTCTGAATAGGGGAATCTGCATGTCAAGTGGATGCATCACGGTTGAAACTCTTGACTTGTGAAACGCAATTTTAACCTGACCCCTATCTTTGCCATGTTCCCTGGTCGCTGGCCTAGCTACCCTGAGTCGATGTGGAACTTTGGCTGGTCCGCACCATCCTCGACACCGCATCAGACCTCAATTCCTCAAGGACAGTTTTGTGGAAGTGATCCAACCTACCAACAGTCCCAAGCTCAGGCTCAGGCTCAAAATAATTGCTCTTCAGCAGCAAAACTCGCTGTTGAACCAACAACTCCACAATCAGTCTATGACCCACACCAATCACCTCCAGCAGCTACTTCCTCATCATCAAGCTCCACAACCTCCACCCTCTCCACCTTCAGTCCAACCACCACCACCAACCCCCTTGCAAAGTCCACCTGATCAACCTACTTCTCAGGTGGCAACATCGAGTCCACAAACTCCTCATCCATCATTCAATCCTGAGGAGATGCCCAATCAGATGAAGACGACTCTTCAAGAAAGCCTCGCGACTGTGGTGGAAAAAACCCAAGATCGCCAGCCCCAACACCTTTCACGTTCCCCTCCACCTTTGCCGGCACCTGCACACCCTGACAGCCATCGTCACCTTTCTTCCAGCCACATCCAAAACCAATCTCACTCCTCACGTCGCTCCCGCTCTCTTCGTCGTCCAAAAGAACCAGCAGTGATCGACAGAAGACCATTGTCAGTTCCCAGAAGTCCCAGAAGACATATACGCGGTCGCTCCGCTCACACCGCCATCCACCACGGGACTGATCTTCCACAGGGTCATGACAGCTCGGTCACGTTGAAGTCAGTTTCCCCTGATCGTCGAAGCCTTTACTATACAACGGGGATCGTGAAAATCATACGCCTCTCTGCGGCTCCACATTCCGACTCCAGACCCCTTACAGCCTTCTCCACGTCATTCCCAACCTTACCTTGATACTGACACTGGGGATCAATCCAGAGGCTCCTCTACTGTCCCCATGGGACACTTCCTGATTTCTCTCCAGGATGATCACAAGAAGGAGTGGATAAAATGAGTCAAATTCGGTTTGAACCATCGTCATCGGATGAAAGCCACATCCGAACTTACGGAAGAAGAGAAACCAAAACCTTGTCTCAGTATCGACATCCACCAATTTCAGCAGGCATAAAAATTCCTGAAATCCATCGACCGCAGGATCCCCCCTGAAATCGCCAAAGAAGCGATCCACTTGATTTCAGGGGCCCGCTTGATCCAAGATATAGATCTTTCACAGAATTTGCGGAATATCACGAAAGCTAGCGTCAGCTAGCTGGAGTCTTCTTGCTTTAGCAAGTATTCCGGGGGCTGCTCAAGGACATCACGCGATTTTTCACGCCCCCAACCCCACCACCATCACCATCATCAGCATCATCGTCATCATCGTCATCATCGTCATCATCGTCATCATCGTCATCATCGTCATCATCGTCATCATCGTCATCATCGACATCATCGTCATCATCGTCATCATCGTCATCATCGTCATCATCGTCATCATCGTCATCATCGTCATCATCGCCATCGTCATCGTCATCGGTTTCGTCATCGTCATCGTCATTGGCATCGTCCTCGTCATCGGGATCATCATCATCATCATCATGAGCATCATGAGCATCATCATCATCATCATCATCATCATCTCCTCATCCTTATCATCCTCCTCCTCATCATCATCCTGATCATCTGCCGCATCCGCTTCATCTTCGTCATCATCATCATCATCATCACCATCATCATCATCAACATCATCATCACCACCATCATCATCATCATGAGCATCATCATCACCATCATCATCATCATCACCATCATCATCATCATCGTCATCATCATCATCATCGCCATCATCATCACAATCATCATCATCATCATCATCGTCATTGTCAGTGTCATTGTCTTCGCCATTGTCAGCGTCATCGTCATTGTCATCGTCACCGCCATTGTCATTTTCAGCCGTCATCGTCGTTGTCAGCGTCAGCGTCATTGTCATCGTCATCAACCTTGTTATCATCATCATCATCATCATCCTCATCATCATCGTCATCATCGGCATCAGGTTCGATCCCCCCCTGGTTTGTTTTGGAAAATCTGTCTATATACTTGCCTTCTTATCCCTGGTCGATGACGCCGTTGTCTTGGGACAGTTGTGTGTGTCTACCTTCTCCTTTTCTGTTGCTTCACATCCAGCGTCGCAAAAGTTTCCAGGCAAACCTCAGCTACTGCCTGGAAACTATTTCTGGTTGATTTCCTGGTCATCTTCTTCCGTTGAATGCAGAATCTGCTAACAAAGATAACCAAAGGACGCCTTTGATCTTGATTTGGCGGTATTTATCATCCATTTTTCAGGGACCCTGATTTTAGCACAGTTAAAGATCACATACATGCATATATATATATATATGTGTGTGTGTGTGTCTGTATATGTCTATATGTATGTATATGTCTATGTATGTGTCTGTGTATGTATACTATGTCTCTGTACGTACATGTGATATCCCGTTCCTTTAAGCCTTTTTGACCATCCTTAACCCCCCTCGAAAGCTCCAAACCATACTTCGGATACGCAGATTGGCAGCCTCCACGTGCAACAGATGCACCTTCGCCGTCCAACTTCCAGTCGTTGTTGATTCTGTCTCGGTTTCTGGCAAGTGGATGCCCCATGATTGGACGTCTTTCTTAGCCAACGCGCAAGTTTGGTATACATAGTTTTACTGGCTAAACCTTCGATGGAGAGTTCACTACTTTCATATACAGTCGGTTTCGGGTTTCGGGTTTCGGGTTTCGCTGGTCGAAACCAACTCTGCAGACCTCTCTCCGGATCACGTCTCACACAATGTTACACACACGCACAATCACGCACACATATATACATAATATATATATACACATGTATGATATTACATTGGACATATAATGTTATTGAGTGGCATGACTATTCAGTGCAACATGCCTGACATGACGCCACACTTCGACTGCAGCTTTTGGATACAGAACGGGATGGTGTGGTTTGTTTTTAACCCGCACCATTTCGCAGAACGGCTGAAAGGCTTCCCATGGGCAACACCTCTTCGAAGCCAAGAAAAAGCATGCAAGCTGGAATCTCGAAAGGTGATGAGCAACACTGGCATGTGTGCATATACCACCGGGCATGTCATGAGGTCACACATTTTTTAAAATATGACTGTAATATTGTACTATTTGTACCATTTTCTATTTTATTCTTCAAACGACTGAAATTTTCATGTTGTTTTTTGGAACATTCATCTTGCCGCACCTTGATATCTTTTGGTTGACCTCCAAGGTGACGATGGCCCGGCCATGCGTGCAGATGCTGCAGCTTTCTTGCCGGGAAAGGGCTACGTCAAGGAGACACCTGAGGTGCACTGCCATGATACGTAATACATAGATGTTCCATGAGGGAATTCCCCTTTATTCACCGCTCACGTTTTCTCACTGCTTTTTCCTAATTGTTTTGCTCACTTAACCATTTTTGCTGCATGTCGCGTGATGTTGTGTGATGTTGACCCACCTGAACTTTAAGCTGCAATGTTTTTTTGGGGTGGGCCATGTCAACCTGTGAGTTCCATTGGATTTTTGTGGCTTGGAGGCGGCATACATCGATTCCCTGCATGAAGAGATTCGCCGTCCGGACGCGCAGATACGTAGCTTGGAGGTTAGGAAGCGGGGTTACAACTATCCATAGGACAAGCCCTTTGAGGCTCTTTGAGGGACTTTATTCGCTACTGAAGCTGGTTGTTGTGAACGAGTCATTTATTCATCATTGCGATCCTCGGCACTGGGGAATGGAGCCGATTTCTCAGAGGTTTGCGCTTTCGCTTGCCGAATGTTGTGCACCAAAAGGGTGATTAAGCGGCAGCATTCCATGATGTTCCGCTTCTTCGTCCCAAAATTTCGTTGGTGGGTCTCCACTTCTTGGGAACAATCTGGCTGCGATTTCACGTTGAATCCCCCGGGGATATCCCCATCTCCCAGTGAGCAGCACCTCTGGATGGGCCCCTCTGGTACCCTCTTGTAAACGTTAATATAACTATGGAAAATCACAATTTTTGATGGGTAAAGCAACTATAAATGGCCATTTTCAATAGCTATGTTTGTTTACCAGAGGGTAATCAAACGTGGCAACATCCTTCATTTGGTTCGATTATTTTCCCATTATATAAAGCCTCTATTTAGTGATTTCCGAGCCAGCCATGTTTAATGACACCGGAGGGTATAGGTGACATAGTCGGTGGCTATTGCTATAGACATCATTATGGGCAAAATATCCCATTATAAGCCATTATATCATATCCCAAATGGGATATTATCATAAAAAAGCAATAGATATCTCATCATAATTATCCCATTATAAGTCACTGAATATCAGAATATCTTATCTAATCTTATCATAATATAATGTCTCAATACATATTTTCTGACTTATGATATGATAATCAACAATATATCCAATTTTTGGTAATATATCCCATTATATCCCACTATATCCCAGTGCAAACCATGAAAGTTCCCCTTGTTGTTTTTGATGCTCTAAGCTTCGTTCGGATCACCAGGGACCGTTCTTGTTTTTTTACCCCAGCGATCGAGGCTTCAACACGCCAAGTTACCGGCCCCTGTCGGTCTCGCAGGGCATTGAGGCGCGGGTGTTGGGCCAAAAATCGCAGGGGCAGTTGGGGCAGAGGTTTTCTGGCACAAGAAATATAGTTGCTGTATTTCTCTATGATGTGTGTATGTATATAATTATTTATATACATATATAAATATATATATATATATTATGTATTACGAAAGCCAGCCGGGAAGCTGGCTAGTTGTTATTTGCGAACGAAGTGAGAATAGGGGGTCTGGGGGGGGCAGTTGCCAAACGGGTCAAAAATGGCGGAAATAGGTGGTGTTTTTGTTCGGGCAAAGTATGGTTTTGCAGGGTAATGTACCAGGCGGCAAAACAGTGACGGTGGGTATCGATTCCCCCTAGGTCCGGTTTTCTGGGGTTTTCTGGGCTCAGTCAATGGACAGATAAATGGGCCAGCTAGTGAGAGGAGATTGGAGAGAGAAGGACATTGGGTGAAAAGTAAGTGCAAGAAGGGTTTCTGGCTTAAGAGTCTCTGGGTGAAACGTATATGGGTGAAAAGTATGTGCAAGAAGAGTTTCTGGGTGAAGAGTCTCTGGGTGAAAAGTCTGTGCAAGAAGAGTTTCTGGGTGAAGAAGTATATGGGTGAAAAGTATGTGCAAGAAGAGTTTCTGGGTGAAGAGTCTCTGGGTGAAAAGTATATGGGTGAAAAGTATGTGCAAGAAGAGTTTCTGGGTGAAGAGTCTCTGGGTGAAAAGTATATGGGTGAAAAGTATGTGCAAGAAGAGTTTCTGGGTGAAGAGTCTCTGGGTGAAAAGTATATGGGTGAAAAATATGTGCAAGAAGAGTTTCTGGGTGAAGAGTCTCTGGGTGAAAAGTATATGGGTGAAAAGTATGTGCAAGAAGAGTTTCTGGGTGAAGAGTCTCTGGGTGAAAAGTATATGGGTGAAAAGTATGTGGGTAAAGAGTCTGTGGGTGAAGAGTCTGTGCAAGAAGAGTTTCTGGGTGAAGAGTCTGTGGGTGAAAACTATGTACAAGGAGAGTTTCTGGATGAAGAGTCTGTGGGTGAAAAGTATATTGGTGAAAAGTATGTATATGGGTGGAAAGTATGTGCAAGAAGAGTCTCTGGGTGAAAAATCTGTGGGTGAAGAGTCTCTGGGTGAAAAGTATGTGCAAGAAGAGTTTCTGGGTGATCAGTCTCGAGGTGAAAAGTATATGGGTGAAAAGTCTGTGCAACAAGAGTTTCTGGGTGAAGAGTCTCTGGGTAAAAAGTATATGGGTGAAAAGTATGTGCAAGAAGAGTTTCTGGGTGAAGAGTCTCTGGATGAAAAGTATATGGGTGAACAGTATGTGCAAGAAGAGTTTCTGGGTGAAGAGTCTCTGGGTGAAAAGTATATGAGTGAAAAGTCTTAGAGAGTCAAGCGGTTTTGCAACGGGAAGCCCAACAATTTGTGGAATCTAATGTTAGACCACTTCAACAACAAATCAATTTGGGTAATCAACAATTGGCCACTCGGGAAGTTGAAATAACCGAAAGGGATACTAGGATTGCTCTCCTTGAGCATGAGCTGGCAGAAGCCAGGCGCCAACACAACTTGGCTGTAGCGTCCCCGGTTCCAGTTTCCCCCATTTCGGGTTCTGCCCTCATGGACTTACTTGCGGATATTCCCCAAGAAAATACGAGTCAAAGGGTAATTCCTGAAGATGAGCAAACCATGGAAAACTTCGATTTGTTTGAAGGTTATGTTCCAGCTCCAGCTCAAACACCAAATGTTCGTGCTAGGCCTTTTGTTTCCCCACAAAATACTTCAGTTCCCCTGCAAGAGGTCGCAAGTCCAATGGTTGTAGAGGCAACTACTTGGGCCACCCCCGGGGTTTCTGTTGCACCAAATGTTGTTCCGTCCATGCCTCAATCTTTTCACCCTCCGGGTGCCACACCCGTGACTGTTATGGCGAACCCCCAACCTGCGGAGTCGGCAGTTGCCAACTTGTCCATGCCAACAAATGCCATGGTACCTAGCGCTAACGTTGCAAGTGGTTCGAATCCAACAGAATCAGCTTTAGTCCAACAACTTCTAGCTGAAGTGAGTAGGTTGACCAATGCATTGCAATCGCAACAACAGCAACTTCAACAGATGCAACAACAACAATCACAGCAGCTTACTGCCCATGCACCCCTGCCGATAGCACCTCCGTGCACGCCCCCAAAGGGCGCTGCTGCTAGCGCACCGGTCTTAGGTCCAACCAATGCTAGTGCTGCGGGCACTCCCTGTGCAAACTCTCGTTTTGGGTCCATAGGTCGTGCACCTCCACCGCAGCAGGTGTTGCCGCCAGGGTTGCCGCCACTTCCGTTGGCGCAACAGGGTTTAGTTGTTGACAATACCACATCTTATCACCATATTGGTTCTGCTAATAGATCAGTTGATTCAGGTAGCTCAGAGTCCTCCTCGGATTCTGGTGAGTTCCACTCAGTGCGTGCCCCATTAGTCCTTACTGAATGTAGGATTTGTGGTGACCTCCATGAAGAGATCGAATGCCCGCATCTTACCATGAACCAACCCTATTTAGCCCCACAGCCACCTGCTGTTAACTACGCGGATGATGAAGAAGATACCATTAGGGTAAAATCCTTAGCTGACATGGTTTTTCCGAATCCACCAGAGAACGCAGGTCAAGCCCGTGGATATATCAATCAGGTGTTGATGTCAATAGGCAAACTCCAAAAGACCCCCGGTAATGAAGTTTACCAGTGGGCCCAAGAGTGCCTAACCAATGATGAAACTGTTCTTCAAGCCGATCCTAGGTAGCCCCGCACTGATCGAGAGATCGCTTCTAGGCTCATAAAGACCTGTAAGCGCGGTAGGTTTGGTCTTGTTTTTCAGCAAATGGTAGAAACAGAACGCGCAGCTAGTGGTGCAATGCCTTGCGGGCGCGCGATGTTGCGTAAAATATTCAAACATTTCCAACTCGAGCGTGACCGCATCGGCATGCTTGGCGAGCGAAATCTGTTGTCCCTTAAAGGTCGCTGGTAACACGGTAGCTGACTTAGAAGCCTTTAGGGATAAGTATATTTACGTGATGTCTACCATCCCCTTAGAGGATATGCCGCGACAACAAACGCTATTTAACCATCTCATCGACGAGCTAGAGCGCAATGCCGTGATCGCCCCAAAAGTTGTTAAAGCTAGAGAAGCCCGACTAGATAGCCACCGTCGCACCACAGACTGGTTATGGTCTAAGGTTGATCTTGCCATCCAACTTGATCAGCAAAAGCGTAATCGCGCTGAGTTTGATAAGCAGCTGAAGTTGAAGCCGGCCGCCGGCTATGCCGGTACCCAACATACCCCCGATGATAAAATCGCTGGTGCCCCTGCACCAACCCCTAATCCCAAAGCTAAGGCCACGCCTAAAAGCCAGGGTTCAGGGGGGGGTAATCCTCAACCAAAGAAAACCCCTAAAAAGGAGGACGTGAAGGCAGCTCCTGCCCCAAAGGCGAAGCCCAAGGCTAAGCCATCCGGCCCAAAGCCGCCTCCGCCCAACCGAAAGGGCAACACGACCCCGCGTGGGGAAGAAGCTAGGAAAGTAGCAAAAATGAGCGCTTCCGAAAAAGCCAAAACCCCTTGCATGTTCTATGCGTATAATGCATGCAAAGCTAAGTCGTGCGCGTTCCTCCACTCAGACACCAGCAAGTATAAGGGACCTCCTCCTAGAGCACTTGGTAAAAGTGGTAAAGCCCCTGCCAAAGCTGCTGCTAGTATGGCAACTGTCATAATCCCAGAGGTCGCTGCCCATGGCGCGACTAATAATCCTGACCCCATCAATGCCATGCCAATGAAGGCCTCCAAGTCCATCCCTTGGCTTTGGGACACGGCCGCAGGTCGACACTTGATTGGACGCCAAGCCCTCACACCAGCCATGAAGGAGCACTTGCAGCAATCACCCAATCCTGTTGCTTTTGCTACCGGAGGTGGCAGCCAGCCTGGCCAAGAGTCACTAGCCTTTAATGGAAGTAAGATTCTTGAAGGTGAAGAGGTCTATGTCCTTAAAGAATGTCCTCCCGCACAAAGCATTGGTAAGACTGTCAT